TCTAATTATAGTGTTAATCTCAAATAAATAGATCTTTTGTATTTCGCTCACTTTAAACTTATAGTTTCGTCTAATAATTTAAAGTATTGAATATGAACAAATTATTTTCTTTGAAAAACATGAAGTTTAGCAAAGGGATTTTCCAACGAATTTATCATCAAACTGTACAATCGTATATATATATATATATATATATATATATATATATATATATATATATATATATATATATATATTGAAATTTTGTTAAAGTATTAGGTCCATGAGGACATATGAACAAGGAATAAACATGATGTAATGGGAAGATTATAATACTAGACTACATAATATGAATGATAAAAGTGAAAGGTTGTGTATGTGTAAATAGGAAACCTTGGCGACGGACTATAATATGAATGAAGTGGGATGATTAATATATATATTGATCACTTCAAATAAATAAACTATTCCAACTATGAAGAACACTGCATCGGACAAAGCAGATGCCCTCTCTACCTTTGTCTGCACGAACATCTTTTAGTGGTCAAACGCCATGACGTATTTTCATTTATATCAATGTATGTGGACACATATTCGATCAGATCTTAGATAGAAACAATTCTAAAAAAACTCGAATTTTTAGAAGCTCGGTACTCAGGTCAATCAGCAATCAACAAATACTTTGAAATCGATCCAATTTATCAACCAATAAAAAATTATGGGCAAATATAAGACCAAGAATCAAATCAATGAGAGGTGCAATCAATATAAATAAGTAAAAAATAACAGGTTAAAGGTCAACAATAACCAGTCAAGATCGAGGTCTTTAGGACAAGCGGTAAGCTATATGTAGAGAAATTCGAATACTTTACTTCTACCTGAAGTTTGTGCTAAGGATGTTGTTCAGTAGAACAATGGAAGCTCCACAACCAAACCATCCAGCTCAGTGAACAAAACTTGGTGGGGATAACCAATTTATTGTTTAATACACAATCACACAGTGGTCTAATAAAATGTGAAAAGCATACATCAAATGCATTATTTACACATCTTCGGATTGTCTCTTGCAAGCTTGATTGTTTCTTCATTCCTGTTTTTATCTTGATTGCTTTCAGTTTCCTTCTCTTTATTTCAATCTCAAGCTTCTGCTCTCAGACATTCCACTTCCGACTGGTGCTACATAATACTAATATCCGCGAACATAAGTAGTATACACCACATGTATATACGATTGTACAGTTTGACAATAAGTTCGTTGAAAAGATATTCCTACACTGAAATTCACGTTTTTAATGTTCCAGTGGGAATTGTATGTCAATTTTCTTTTATCACATAATGTCATGTATTTTCTTTTCTTTTTGTAATTAAAATTCTCCTGATGTTTATACTTTTATTGTTGGATATAGATTCATAGTTTCTACAACAAATACAGTATTTAAAATATATTGATCGTCTTGTCTGAAACTTTTCCATTACCAGAGAGACTTTGTTGCCTCTTTTTTTACATTTGCTTTTATCTTTGTGTCTACCCAATAAATGGCGTTTTTGTATCAGACAATAGATAACAGGAAATGTATTCATTCAAACGATAAAAGTAGACGGAAATTACTTTTACATTTCATTAAATTTTTTCTGTTTCAGATGACATAAATAAATTTCTGTTTTTACGGTGATGATATCTTTCGAGTATGCTCCACTGGTTTATTAACTGAAATTTGTGTATGTACTTTACACTTTATGAGCCATATATTTTATCTCATTTTTTATTTCCTTTTTGTAATTGGTAGGCTGTTCCTCTGTTCTTTGTCCAGATGATTCATTAACATTCTATTGTGTTGGGTCTGTCCTATTATTAGTTACTTCCTACTTTTTACCCATCACCTAAACGTTATAATATTTGTTACATCGTCATTTCACTCTTCTGAATGTTCCTGGTTTTTGTTCCGCTTATTTGGTTTATGTTTTCATTAGCTCCTTGTAAATTTTCTAGATTACCTTGCATCCATATTGTGCTCGACGGGTTTCCCAATAAGAAGCGCTTTTACTGAAGGTTATTAGTTAATTACGCGAAGTATATTTATTTATATAGTACTACGTTTTGTAACTTTTGATGAAATGCATTTGTGCCAGTATTGAGGATACGATTGACGGCACTTTTGAAACATCGTGATTTCAGAATTATCTTTAATAAATATCAACGTGGTGTATCTGCGTTTTAAATATCATCGTGTCTTAGGTTGGATATCGTTGTAGATGTATGTCGAACTGTTTTTTTTTCGATTCTGTCTGTTCACGGTTCAAGTTTACAAAATGAATTTTGTTGATAAAAGTGGATTTGATTTGCCGTGATGAACATTTAAAATATCCTATTATTCAATCTTACAAACTTGTTTGTTTATGAATAAATAAAAAATCACAATTGTTTTGGGCTAAAACTAGTATATTTGCTTTGATTGTTTGTATTAGGATAACCATTGTTTAGTGAAAGGACGATATCCAATATTTTAGAGTATTTTCTCGTTCATGCTGTTTAGTTAATGCTGCATATAAGCGTTTGCTTTCCGTTGGAGATCTCATTTTTAATCATTTATATTTATTAATTATTCTGTAAACAGGCCACTGTACCACATCCCGAACTGCCAGATGGTAAAATGTTAATAAAATAAGATGAATGAAATGTTCAGCGAAAAGTATGCTATTGCATACAGAATTTGTTCACCAAATAAACGAAAAAAAATGCTTGGAAATGTTTGACATAGCATACTTATTGAACATTGAGACGTTGATGCTCTATAAATTCTTGAACTCGTATCGTATTTCAATTTAGTTACGGTGATGATTTTGTAAAGTTAATAGAGATAAATTAAACTTTTTAGATTAAATTTTCATGCTTATTAATCCTTCGCCTATAATCATCAGTAAAGCGCCTTTGTGACGTCTACAAATCAAAGCTTATTGTATTTTTATGTTTGCTTCAGTTATTCGTGCATCACTGTCGGGGATAGAGAAAAAGAGTTTCACATCAAAATATATATTTAAATTTTCAATGGTTTATTACTTAGTATAGATCTTTTCTTAAAAAATATATCGAAAAGTTTTCTGGAGGTTTTTTTTTTCAAACGTATAAGGCGAACTCTTCGCCTTGCATTTTTTAAAGCCCGTCAAATTCATTCCACCACGTAAACAATAACTATAATTCATTTAAATATGTGTTAACCATCCTGTCCAGTATTATTTTGAAAACTAGTGTATTTAGATAAATATGGTTTTGATGCTCTACATTATAGTTTATACATTAGTTCTCTTATATTTTATATCCGAGACTAACTCTAGTTAGATAGACATTGAGGGCCAAGAGGCATTGAATAGCTTCGTTTCATCACGGGACTCGTCAGCAATCCACATCAGTAACTCGATCAGAACTCTGACCTTGTATCTTTATATCTCTTGGCGAGCATTTCACCTGTAAACCTTTGGGTCGGCATTCAATAGTTTACATTTATAACTTTGATAAATTCACGATATTACATAACCACACAACTAATTATATAACTACCAGTCATAGCTTCGCATTAACACTTCAGCGAAAGTTCACAATTTATTTTTTGGTAAATTTTTGTTTTTGTATTTGAATCAAGGAAGAATATTTTGTCCTTTGTAGGATGATTTAGTTGAATGCATTAACATTTCAATGTTGTTCACCATAAAATTCGGACCCAGTAATTATTGGTGTGAACACTGACACGCTATCCACTGTGTTCCTGAGTTCAGATAACCTTTTGTTTGCTCGATAGGTATGAAGAAAATTGGGAGAATTAAATGAAAAAATAAATCTAAACATTACAATTTCAACTACTGTATATTTATACATACAAATTCTAAGCATATAAAACAGCCGAGGTGATCACAAATAAATGAGTATCATAACACGAACAAGAAGACCGGGGGTTAACTTAATCATCATACCTCAAAATTTACATAATGGGATGAAATGCACCATTATAGTTGTATAGGACTGAGATTGTCTAAAATTATTGTCTACTAACGATTTTTCTTGTGACAGATACTAATTACGTTTAGTGTTTAAAAAAGTTTGTCGATAACACTATCTTAATAATCTCGATGAGTTCATAAGTCAATTGTGTATTATTTAGTGCAATTAACATGAAAGCTTGTTAATCGAGGTGTTATACTGTTATCACGAAGTTAAAAATTTATATGCTTTGGTCGCCTTTTAGTAGTAGTAGTATGATAGTAGTATTATTATAGTAGTATTATAATAAGTAGCAATAGATAACCAATTTATGTACAGAAGATCAATTTCTCTGGAATGACTATTTCAACGTCTTTAACTGAAATATCGAAATGCTACAAGACTTAATCTTGAAGTCAATATACTTTTCTGGTTGATGCTGTAAATGTGTCTCACTGATAAATACTAATCAGTAACCTTCATATTTTTTTTTACCGATTAACTTCAACAATCAAAGTTTTCAGTAATTGTTTGCGAATGAATTTAGCGACAAATTCATAATTAGGTGATTATTTACAAGTTTTTATATCTCTGTAATATACACCTATGCTTTAAGTACCAATAAGTTGTAAGGTTTTATAACGAGACTATATTTTATTGGATGACCTTTAAGTGGCTTTGAGAAGCTTTCGTCATTTACAGATGTCAACATCGGGTTACAAATTAGTGCGAGTAGTTGGAATCAGTAGCTAAAGCTGAAATTTAGGGTTAGAATTGAGGTTTTTTAACATGAATTTACATCAGCTACAATATTAAAATTCTATTTAACCATATGAATGAATAAATTTCATGCGAAGATCCAAGTATCTCTGTCTTTAATTCAATTGGTTCGCCCATAATCCCGATTTTTTTTCTTATGAGAAGAAATGATTTTATTCACCATTTCCTTAAACTGTTGTTACAAAGGAAACAGTTAATTTTAAGCTTGACTTTTCTCCTTTTTATTGTATTTTCATACTAATTCGTTGTTCCTTTTGCTTTTTTTAAGGGTCGAAGAGGTTTCGGTAATATTTATGTATGGGCATCAGGTAATGGTGGTTCACTAGATGATTCATGCGCTTGTGATGGTTATTCAAGTAGTCCATTCACTTTATCTGTCAGTGGTGTTAGTGAGTCAAATACACGTCCATGGTATTTAGAAAAATGTTCATCAACTTTAGCTAGTACTTATAGTAGTGGAAGTCCAATGGAAAGAATGATTGTAAGTTGTTGTCGTTTTTGCATAGATTGTTTTGATGGGTCACTGTTTATTTGATTGATTAAAGTTAGACATTAAAACCGTTGGATGCCGGCTCATTGGTCTAGAGGTTAAGCGTTTGTACATGAGATGGAAGGTCCTGCGTTCGCTCTCCGGTTCGGAGTCGTGAATGCACACTGCTGAGGTGTCTCATACTAGGACGAAATGGCCATCTGGTGCATTCAGTTTTTCAATGGTTTTCTAACTTCGATAGGTTCATTTTTAAACATCTGAAAGAATTCTTGCGACTTTATCTACTGTTTTCCATGATCAATTCGTAACGAGATGTAGAACATGATTTCGGCTATATAACATTTAACTACTGAATATATTCGCTGAATAGAAGTATTTATATCGTTAGTTATGGATTTATATTGTATTACAACAATACTTCATTAATTACCTTTACAAATAAAGTCCAAAAAAAAACAGCCATATTCATCTATGATCCGTTAGGGCCCCAATATCTGACTGCAGTTAGATCGGACGAATGATAGGTATTCAATGATTGCTGTCGAAATACACATATCGTCAATCGTTGTATATAATCATCGACTTAACTCGCGTTGGTGAAGAACGGAATACGAGAATGAATTTCGAATACGTATATTTCATACAGTCGTTGGTCGGATAGCGAAGCGAAACAAAATGACACGCTATAGAGAAGGCGAGTGAGCCACTCAATTTAATCATGCGTTAATTGATACTTATAGTCGAACAAAAATAACTTACAGTTATGTGAAGGGTAAGATAAGAAATGCACATACATACGCTTACATGAATGCAGTCAAGGTTAACAAACGAGTAATTAACACGGTCAAAATGTGAGAATCGAATCCAGGTCCTTCAATCTGACGGCCAATGACTAACATTTAGATCACCCTTTGGCTTACATGTCTAACATTAATTATTCTGCTACATTGCGCCACCACCTTCTATTGTCTGCGATCAATAATTGTCTCACAACCAACACAGTCGAATTTCACTTGTAACGGCTTCCCAAAAAGACTCTTTAAATAACCATTCCACTAGCCCGTGGAACTAATACTAATTATATGTTCAGTAGTGACTATTCTTTATAGGTAATTATAGAAGTTCTAGTGAAGATTCGTGACCTACAGAGTTCAACCATGTCGGGTGTGAGACATTTACCTATCATACCTAATCGAAGATAGTTACATATTATCATAAATTGGCCTAGGTTGGACAAGTCCACCTCTGGATGCCAGTTAAGTGGTCAAATATTTGAGGGTCTTCTGATGGGTTCATAAATGTATTCTACCAAAGAGTCTCATGCCAGGATGACACAGTTGTCCAGTTTTTTTTCATTTTTTAATGGTTGTTTAATCGTGATCAGCTCTTTATGTGAACTGTAGAAACTCAACAATCCTACAAACATTCTGTACGAAAAAAATCTAATTATATATATATATATATATATATATATATATATATATATATATATATATATATATATATATATATATATATATTAATCGATCATATTTAACATCAACGTAATAAAAAGAGAGATTAATAACATGGAGGATGAAGAAACGAACAAAAATTATCATAATCTTTTTCGAAAGAAAACAAAATTAAAAAGCAACAGAAAGAGATGGTGGGTTATTGTTGTTACCTCCCAAATGACTTAATTATAATTAATTGATGAATACTATCTTTAAATGAAATAAATGGATATAAATTATCAAACTATTTTTCAGTTGTTGTCATTATTTCAAGTAATTGATTTTCGTCGTTAATGAAAGACTTTTTCATATGTTTCTTTTGATATATTTTATCTCACTTAATATGTAGTTATATGATATGAATACTCCATTAGGAATCTTTGCGAAGTAAGCAGATATAGAATTTGTAAATCTACCTATACTTCGGTGGATTAGCTTGAATCTTTTTAAATGAACGTTCATCCGACATTTGCTTTATGGTATTATTTAAGTAGGATTCATTGTAAGATATCTTATGTGTAACGTATTTTTTTTTACAGTCATTTACAGTTAATCAGCCATAAATCCCGTTACTCAGTTCTACATTAAAAGTATTCTTTTCCTTTGTATAATAATTGGATTTACTATTAATGTTTAGTTGTGGTTTTATGTTCTTATACTTGAATACTGATATGAGCTGTGAATATAATTAAGAAAAGGTTATTGAAAGCAGTAATTTAACTCTCTGGTGTTCTGATTACATGTTCAGGACTTTGGGGATTTCCGTATCTTATGGATTGCATGATGAATACACTAACGGGGTGGGGTTAGTAGCCTTATTGTTGGTCACACAGCCAGGAACGAATACTATTATAAAGACAGACCATCTGTTTTTCCCAAAATATGATCCGTTTTCTGATATATTTAGATTTGTATATATATATTTATTCACATTTAAGAGGCATTTTTAATGCCCTTATGGGAAAATAACCTGAATATTTCTCTTTTACGTATAAAGTGTTAATTTAACTGATTTATTTCAATGCATTGAACATCGGATATCTGAAGTTAATTATGTTATTTTTCTCTCCAACTTCGAAATTTAAAGAATTCTCGAGCTAAACAACGTCTTTTACTAATCATCTTGTCAACGAAAACAGAAAAGCCAGACAAAAATTGTCAGACTGATTTTCATGAATAACTGAAGAATATTAATGACACTTTTTTTGTGGCCTATTAAGTTCCGACACTCTTTGGTTACAGTTAGTAATCACCAGGTTCTGTATATAATTAGATTATAAATTCAAATGCGTAAAATTAAAAAAAATACATACTGCGGTACACTTTTTCTTTATTCACACATCCACATACATGAATGCAACTTAGAAATTACTCTCCTGTCAGTTTTGTGATATCATTATTGAATCTGACCTAAATTACATCGTGGATTGTTTCTTGGTTTGTAATTTCACCAACTGGCCTATCTGTTGTTTTTGGGTCATAGAAGTACATACACACACACTTCAATGTACGTAGTTGTTACTTTTATAGTAAACAAAACTATTGATAGCTTTATTGTTTAGAAATGTTTTCTGCTGCCATGGCATTTGTGTGCTTTATTTTCAGTTTCTGTATGCTTCAAAAATATTTGTACATACATCTACGTGCACTTATCTACTTTTGTGTGGAAATTTTCTTGTACTGTTTGTATGCCTGTATCACTATGTATTCATATCAGATGTATAGTTTTGTCTGAGAATTCCATAAGTTTGTTGTATTAAACAACAAACAAACAAACTGAAGGAATAAGCCACTGGTCCTGATCACTGCTATTTTTCTCAATTATTATTACCTGAAATTTTGATTCACATCCATAATAATTGACATAAAGATTGTCAACTCTATTTTGTTCACGCTAGAATGAACCAGACAAATTATAATATCGAAGTTTAAAGGTGATAAATTAAGGTCAATATTTCATTTTTTCATAATGCCAAAATAGTTTCATTGGTATGCAAAATAACTATATAAAATGTAGATTAGATTTCTTCAATTGTACATTTATAACATAAGGTCAGATGACTAGAATCCTATCGTTTGACTGATATGTTGATATAAGCCTATTGAAGGATAAACTCGACATCATGTTCACGTTTTCGTAATTCCTATTTGAATAATCATGTAGAAATATTAAGATGAAAAACGTAAAACACTGAAAAATTATTTCATCGTAGAACTCACTACTTTTTGGCATAAAATTCACTAATAAACATTCTGTTTAAAATGATTAGTTTGTTTCTGTCTCATGTCATTTGGTTATTTTCTGTGATTTCTGGTTATCTCTCAGATGGAAAATTCTAAATAATGTTTTCTACAAAAATCCCACCCGCGTTACTCTTGAAAAGTACTAACAGTTCCATAATAAAATAAATATATGTTTGAATATTCAATTAGTAGATTACATTACACTTGATGATAACAAAGGGCATGTCTTTATGTATGTAAATAAGCCAATGACTATGTGTATTGGTAGAACTTAAAAAATAAGTTAAGCATCTGTACATTTTTGGGAAATGTAAGAATCAAAACATCATAAAACTCATATTTAAATAATGTATTGACTAAGTTGATCAGAAGGATCAGTGTAATGCGTGTCAATTCATATGAATCATGCCTGTCTAAATAATAAATCAATACCAGTAGTGTAAGTTCATAATGAGAATAAACTGTTCTTAAACACTTTGTGGGACGGAGAAGTTTGAATTTTCGTCGAGGTAGAGCTTCAATATTAATTAGTATTCTCCTTCTTTTGTACAACATTACAAAGACGAATTGTTGTTATCAACCCTATAGCTTGTTTCATCTAAATGTTTATCAATGAAGGTGTTTATTTGTTTTATTCAATTAGTTTTTTTATTTTGTTTTTTTTAAAAACATATTTACTTCTTTAGTCCACTACTGATTTGGGTCATGACTGTACTCGTATGCATTCCGGTACATCAGCATGTGCGCCAATGGCAGCTGGAATTATTGCATTATTATTAGAAGCTAAGTGAGTGTAATTTATTTAATAAATAATGATGTTTAGTACCATTATTATGGGGCTACATTGTATACAGTGATGAGACAAAAAAAGGAACTGAATTTTAATATGTTGAGCAGTAAGTTCCAACTGATCAGTATTCTGAAAATATTCTACTCGTCATGAAACTCGAACTTCATGCGTTCCGTTTTCCTGTGATTTTGAATGTGTACTCGAGAAGAGCCTCGAGTGCGGATAAAACACCTGTCTGGTTCTACCTGGTAATCAGTAGTCATTCGTATGGCAGGATAACTCGAGCAGATGACATGCTATTACAAATCCAAATGGTTGGTGAAAGATCCAAATATAAACGTGCTGTTATAAGTTAGTGAACTATTCACCTGGTTTAGATCATTACTTATTTAAGCCTGTTACCCTTCATGGAAGAGTATAGACCGCCCACCAGCATTCTCCCATATATTTCTGTTAGAATTAATCTTACACATATATGTAAGTGATTACAATCCACTAAGTTATTCAACATACATAGATGTATGCATTGTTTTTATGTTTATTAAAACTTAGAAGACACAACATAACTTGTTGATTAAATCATTGAGGATAAGACTCAGTAGTGTGTGAATATACAATCGTCCTTGTTTAAGTTCGTTTGATATTCACTTGCTTGTTGTTTAGGAATGTTAATTGTTATCACTTGAAATCAGTTTCTGTTGTGCTAGTTTATTTGTTTTTTTTTTTTAAATATTCCTTTAAATTCCCAGTGTTTAAATTATTCTAATACATTTTACTTTCCGGTTTCATTCTTTCTTTTTTTAAAACTATTGTTGGTATTATTCCAACTGTCATACTCTTTTCATCTTATGTTTTTTTCAGTTTCTTTTTTTTCAGCTGTGCAATACTTACTTACTTACTTGTTCACTATTATTTCTAAATTTGTTTTATTTCGATAAAACAAACAGACAAACAAATTCAATCTATCGATGAGAAAAATATTTCAAGATAAAGAAACGACTCATCAACTTGTTTTTAATACTCAGTCCATCAATGCTGATTTATAATTAAATCTATCTTATATATAAGAAAAATAATTTAATACAATTAATTTTGTTACATTGAAATGAACTCTCAATACTAATTGTGCAATATTGTAATAAGTATCTTTTGTAATTATTAAAAGTATATACTTTATACATAGTTTTAGCATTTAGTACCTACAGATTGTGTGGAATCATTATAGTTCTGCGTTATTTCAGCTAATATAAGTATTTCTCCATCCATTGTAGTATAAGGTCCTTAAATTCTGATATATTTGCCTGTTGTTTTTTTCAAGAGATAGTATTTTGTTGTATAGTGTCCGGTTCTGATTCTTATATGTGATCCTTCTAGACGCAAGCTTAAATGGTTACTTGGATGAGATCAAGAGTTAGAAGGTAGTTTTCGTTGACTTATCGAATCGTATATATATATATATATATATATATATATCCACTAATCGTTTATGTCTCTTTATTTATAAATCCTGGCCATTTATCCTTTACACTTATCGTTCGGTCGATTTCTGATTGGCCCAATGTTCTGGGTAGATAACAAAGGAAAACGTGCTCAAAACTGCAGTTTTTCTGTTTGAGCTTTTCATTACTTCGTATAGTAATAAGTTGTAAGTTTTCTGTGGTAGTATGTTAATATTCATAATTATCACTCCAAACAGGTCTAAAGCAGATAGGTTATGTGTCTGTGAAGTTCTAGCGCATCGGCCTCTTAATATTCAATATGTATTCAGTATCAAACAATTTTGAGCATATTTCCGTTCATTTAGTAAGTGGATTATACATGTATGCTTATACTTTTAACTAACGATTTCAAGTTATAATTTTCACTTTATTAACCTTTTACCATCTGACAATGCGGGGTATGCTTCATTCCCTCCTAATAGGACACAATTCGATATGTGTATGCTTGTAACTTACTGGAATTATCGAGGCAATCCGCATAGGACACATATATCCTAATGAGAATGATCAATTTCAGTCCCTAAACATCAATCGGAAGATCCAAACAACAATTATATATGAATTAAGATTAAAACTACTAAGACTTCATAAAGCTCTTAAATATTCATTAACTAAATACATACATTGCAGACTGATACATATTTGCTTACTTGTTTATACTGCTCCAACATTTTGAATAATAATATTTAGTTATTTTCAAATAAAATAGAATGATGTAATGATAAAATTGTCGTAAGATCGTTTTCTTTTATATTTTACTTGTTTTTTTTCTACAAGCGCTGTGTTTCTGTCTGTTTGATCTATGTATTATTATTATTATTATTGGCACTTAAATCACACATCCAAAATTTATGCATCATGAAGTTAAATAGAAGTAAATAGTCTATAAAATGAATAATCAAATGGCGTCTTGTTTTAATCACAAATTTTAATGTTTGTGTCAGAAAATTTAGTTGTCTTTTTATTTTCATTTGTTTTCGTAGAATGATTTGGATGTTTTGATTTTATGCTAGACTATATCAACGATACATTGGTTGTTTTTGACATTTGATATATATGTATTCGATAGATCATTTATAGATTATAATGATGTAACTTACAAATTGATGATGCCGTTATATTAAATATTGTATATATTTGTATGTATAATCTCTTAAGCAAGGTCATATTACACATAACCTAATCCTATTGCAACTAATGATAAAAATAAGTAACGGAAATATAAGTCGCATTGTTTAGCGATTTCATATTGTTCAAACAATCTCTCAAATAATTAATTGCTTAAAATGTAATTTACTGTTATTAGTTTTTCATTAACTCATCAGTGATAAACAGTGGACACAACACTTCAAGTTCCACTATTACAATCGTTTACTTATTTATTATTTATTTTATTTTAACACATAGATATTGGTGCAAGGAGGCACCAAATACATATGTGCCACACAAATCTCATTCGATATGTGTGAGGGCTATGATACTGCCCGGGTGCCCAAACCGAAGCAGGTGGTTTTCTTAGGGGGCCACACCCCGAGCCTTCGATCTGAAGGTGTGATCCACAAGGCAGTGGAGCATCGTGTTGAGATGCAGTCCCATGGAAGCCGGTGTCCAACGATTGGTTCATACGCTATTTGTTCCTTCAGGATACTGGAGCCCATGTGCACCATTGGTTTGAAATCCGGTTAAAGCGCCAAACATTCGCTTTTCGTCCTCTCATTTTCGTAAACAACACTCCCTCCACGAGAAGGCAGTGGGTAGGACTTCCCCTGGCAGAGGCTATATACGCGTGGTCATGTGAGAGCATTTCGATAGGGAGAGCTGGCTCTCCCCACTCTCGGCCGTACCAGGGCATTTGGGGGCAATCATTTACTTATAGGTAACTTAATTGCTAGGTACACATATGAAAACGATTATATATAGATATTCAATCTAGATGTTACCAGTGAATTTCAATCACTCACGAATAATTTCGTAGTTATTAAAATTAACAATAATAATACAAGTAACCATTATAATCATAACGATAATGATTTTACAATAATACTGATTCATTTAAATTAAATAAACTGAAAACGAGTATTCTTTTCAGTGTTTACTCAATACAAATGTAATTTTAATTACAAACTGAAGTAGACTTTGACAATTGAGGGAAACTATAAAGTACTATAGACCTGTTTGTCTTCTACAGTTTAAAACTTTTCAATAGTATATATCCACCACTCTATACCGGATCGACTTTAGGAAATTTTGATATCTTAACAAACACATGACGCCATTAAACTCCTAAGTTGGACTCCCATGGTCCATTTAAAACATACCCCAGTGGTTCATCTGATCTCGTCAAACAGTTCGTGGAAATCATGAATTCCCATATGAATATGTTGAATGATTTTGCTTAGTGTATTACATATTGATTCTACTGTGCATGTTTTCAATTTTGTTGCGTCAAGTGCGTATGTCACTAACTTTGTTATGGAAAACATATTATTTTAGTTTCAATCTATCATTGTTAACCTAATTAATTACCTTTCTCTCTGATTATAATTTGAAAATTTTCTAAAGATTTTATATGAAAATCTTTTTACCAACAACTCTTTGACTGAATACTACTTATATCAATCTTATCTCCGATCTCTTTGCATATATTAGATGACATTTACAAGTTCAATGACATTTATTAAATAATAGCAGTAGTAATGAATAAAGTAAATAAAAAGTTTCTCCAATTTTCTATTGTCATTCTCTTTCATCATTTAGATATCTTGTTAAAATTGATGACGTTCAATGTTGTAAAACAGAAATGGTACACAGTTTGAAAATGTGTTCGTCTCTATTTCTGTTTTTACTTTGAACTTTTAAATAAAATGATTTTATAAAAATGTGAAAATCGTCATAGGTAGTAATAGTAATAGAAGTATTAGCACGTTCAATAAATCATAAAACAAACAGAATCACACATTATAAACAGAGATGAATGGTGGTTAGCAGTGAAATTCAGGATGCCCGTCAGTTGTATACATTTCCATTGCAGAGTTGGTGTTCATCTCGAGTAATATCGGGGCAATCCGCATTGGATACATGTATGTCGAAAAGAAACTAATCATTTTTAGTCCTAAACATCTATAGGAAAATTCAAACGACAAATATTATGTCATAATTACTAGGACCAAAATGACTTTATTTGAATTATCAATGTTCCTTTTCTTTGTATAATTTCGATAAACAATCATACAATTTCCAAAATTTCTTAGAAAATAAGTTTTCTTATATATACCTTGGATACATGGGGGAAACATGTCAGTCAATTATATACAACATTGAACCTAACGCACATATCTTCATCGGTTCAAGTTTCTACACATTACAATAAAGTGAGGTGTAATTATTCACATGTAAATTGATATGGATTTTATGGATAAATCTTTAGCTACAAATTTGTTTCATCATGATCTGATATCAATAGAATAATTATTTAAGACCAGGAAACATTTTTCTTATCGAACTTATTTATTCCCTCCAATCTATGTTCAGATTGATATTGTATGATCCAGCATTAAAGCCTGTCATGAGTTATGGATCGTTAACTCAGGAATATCTTTATATGTATTGAATAGTCTTTAAATTTCATAAATCTGTCAAATGATGTTAATTTTAAGTTGGAAAACTGTTTTTAGACATAAGCAAAGATTTATTTAAATCGGTTACAAGAATAAATTTGGGAATTTTATTGAAAAACTATTCGCTTCAATTCTTGTTTATTTATTTATTTTCATTTAAAAACGGCATTTATATTTATTAAGAATGTGAATATATATAAGGTGATTCGTTTCCCTCAAAAATTTAATATGCACTACTGACGGTTACCATAGTTAAAAGCAAAGAATCATTGATAACATATTGACGTTTGTGATAAAGGGTTCAGCAATTTGTTGCTTTTATTCTGACTGTAATTGATAAAGATGAAACAAACCCGATATTTGATTTCGTATATGATTACTTCATCTAACTGCATTGTACAACGGTGGTATTTAAAAACGTACTACTATATGTAGCTGGAAGATTGTATTTCATTCATTCATGTAACAACAGAAAACCATGTAACCGTACTAAAGTCGCTTGGGCCAAGTCATTTATTTAATTTTGTGCCTTAGCTTATGTTGTTCAAATAAACAAGTGAATTATACACAAACACACAGAGAAAATACACATGAAAAAAGGTCACGACAAATTATATGTTAATATACAACATAACATAACAAGTAAGATTACAATAATGTATGCAAGGGTTACACAGATATCCCAGTTTTTGTGTTTACAAAACGGATCGTTTCATTCTGTCATGCCACTTTGTGATGTGATTGTAAATTCGAGTGTATTTATGATGTTCTGAGTGTTTGGGACCACTACAATCTTCATTTCTTCATATCCTTGATGAATTACTTGTTATCTGGTCAATAACACAACCATACTATCTTATTTGAATATTTTGAATAAAATTGACAGCTAGAATTCACAGTATATTCTCAACTAACCACCAAGTTGCTCTGTTTTCTACACTACAAGCAGTTGAGATTTGAATCTCAGTTGCATGGTCAAAATCCGAATAAGTAGATTAGGTTGTCATAAAAAAACGTTCAGCATATTATATTTTTCTTGTATGAGAAATTTGGTGTTTATCATCGATTGATATATAATACCTAATTCTGTGCTCGCACATGATCGTAAGACTAAGTTCATTCTCTGTATCGTTGTGCTTTATCATCAATAATCTAACATGTTTAATCATATTATGTAATGCTTGAGATCTTTTAGGTTGCGTCGGGTTACTCTGTTTTATTTTTTCTTTTAACCACCATACGATAAGTCTTCTATATGCGAAAATTTTCTACTCTTCATTACCAGTCAGTCACAACGTAGGACCAGGCACATGCATGCATCGGTCCAAGTTGCCACACTTCATTAGCACAGCAAGGTGAACACCGGATTCATAGAAGCAGTTAACTCAATGGTGTAATATATAAAGGAGAGACTTTATGTAAGGATTTAGTACAGAAAGAAAGATTTAGTTCATAGAAAGACAGAAATGAAATAATTCTAATCTCATAGTTTAAGAGAAGACAAAGAGTGTATACACCTACGCCATTGTGATCGATTCTGAGCCATGTCACCAAGAGTCTCCAACCATTGGTTACGATAATCACGAGGACCCCAACAAAGTAGTCCGCATTTCCCAACATGGCTCAGACTAAAGTTAGTGACTTCAAGGACTGGTGCCACTCTTTGATTTGGCCGCCCCTAACTTTCTTCCAACCATTCCCAACACTAGTCACTCTTCATTATGGTTCTGATAACATTGAGAAGAGTGCAGGAATTAGTTTGTTTGTCAAAAACTGGAAGAGATCGATTGACCATTTCGTCCTACTTCTGAACTCCTCAACAGTACACACACATGGCCCCATCAGGGATCGAACCTGAGACTTTCAGATTGCGTGGATATTGGATGATATGACGGATCGATTTAATTATGTGGTGTGGCCTATTAGATTATGACTCTAATTTCAAAGTAACGTGATCATCACGACATCTACTGGTTGTAAATTCAGTTCTTTAGGGAATATTAATAAAAAGTATTTTTACAGAAATAATTATTTTCCTTCAAATATCCTTTTCTTTATCTGATAGCGGTCGACTTAGCTGGCGTGACGTTCAATATATTACTTTACTAACAGCTAATCCGAAACCGTTCAAAGATGGTAATTTTACAAAGAATGCCGTTGGACGTCAATGTAAGTTCTATTTTGCATAGATTCTGGGTTTTGGAGTCTGGCGCTTGCGTTTGTACATTCATGATAGAAGATTAATGCTTATTTTACTGACAATACTGTATAAGATATTTAGAACTGTTAAACTCTAAACAAAAACATCAACCACAGTGACTGAATATGAAAACAGAAATGGATGGTGATTTGCAATCGTTGACATTTCCATCACCAGTTTATCTAAAGAAAATTATCGTTTGCTCAACGATGTACTGAAATTTTACGGTAATTTAGGATAAGTTATTTTCGTTTCTTTTTAAAAATAAGCGTTATAACTGTTGAACTGCTTCATATTTCTCATTTGTATGGCAGTTAGTTACAGTTCTAACCGATGACACTTCCCTTGATATACGTTCATTAAAGTTTCTTTATTATACTAATTCAGTAGTGTTGAAAAACTTTCTCAAGTGTTCAATTACAAAGTAAACAGTTAAAGCTAGTTAGTTCTGTTTAGTTTAGCCCTATTCTATTATTATGAGATCGACAAATATATGCTCATTCTTTTTCTCTCTGAATATATATATTCTCATTTGTCCACTACAGATAGCCAGTTGTATGGATATGGTTTAATGGATGCGGGTAAAATGGTCCGACTTGGGGAATTATGGCGTGGTGTTCCTCCACATCATCGTTGTACTTCAAATGTGATAGATGTACAAAAGTAAATTTCACCTTAATTCTTTACCCCCTACTTTTTTTAACTTGTGAATATTGTTTTTATAAGAAATACAATAAACAAATTGATTCGAAGAAAGGTAAACTTATTGCCGTGGAATCGTATGGCTTATACAGATTTGTAAGTAATTAAGATGACCAAGGTGGAATCTGTCTAATTGATGAAATTAGTTACGTAAAGAATGGAATTACTGTTTATAGTTATGTCTAGCTTTCATTTGCTTTATCAAATAACTGGTGCATCGTGTAACTTGCCTGCTATTATGATCAACCTGAGGTATATTGGCTGGAACACTTATTACTTCAGGTCCTACCACGACAGGCAAGTGGGTTGGAGAATGGTAAAAATAAAGCATCAAATTCATAGTTTGAGGTTGAAGTGTTTATCGCCTTTTATACTGGGTTGTGACGGCAATGACAGCCAACATTTGCTTCTTTGCGCCCATCCCACAACGAAAAAATGGTGTTGAAAATGTACAGAGGAAAAAATAACACGCATCATCTTGCCTGTACAAACTTCCATTGTTAGCGGTAAAGCCTTACATGTACGGTGCTAACGCATCAAGAAATAATCACAAAAAGGTCACGTGTGATCGGGCTTGAACAATTGCTCTTTGGGCTCTGTGACGATGCTCTCAGGTCAGCAAAATCACTAGTAATCCAGATTCCTTTTTAGGTCCTAGAAGAAGAAGATGTTTCCATAGTATTGGCAACTGGGAAGTGACAACCCTCCACATATCCCTAAAAGCACTCAAGACTACCTTGTCAGTGATGAGAAACTGTTTTCATATTAAAATAGTCTTCACAAATCTCCCACCCTTAATAGCATCGGATTGCTTCAAATCTATGAATAATTCATACCATTTGCTTTTGTTAGCTATTTTTATTATTCTGCTCTTTATTCTTGTATTTACCATAAGAAATCTAGGTGGAAAATTTAATCACACATTATTTCTTAACTTCTCTGGATGTCAACCAAAATCTCGAAATAGTGACTCATCAAACAAATTAAATAAACGATGGACTTCAGAAAATGGTACACCCATACGTTATTTAGAACATGTCCAAGTTTACGCAGATATTGTTTATGAACGTAGAGGATTATTACAACTATCTGTAATATCTCCAAGTGGTATGTTTTTTTTTTAATAATAGGTCTTTGTAATGTTAGAAAACATAATCTTGAGGTTCATATGGGTTTTTTCAAAGAGGAATTTTGGTCAAAATTGACTTGATAGACTTTCCAATTATTTATAATCAACGTAGAGCTTACCCAAGTTGCCGTAACTAATCAGGACAGCAAAATGTGTAACATGCGAGTCCAAATGCTCGTAGCATCAACTTGATAGTGTTGAAAAACGTGGTTGAAGAAGACTGAATGAAAATGTAGATACATAAAAATACTGCAATTAGAGGAAAGTACGTACTTACGCCTGTCACCACTCATGGAGGAGCACAGGCCGCTGACCAGCATTCTTCATCGAATTCTGTCCTGGACTATCCTTTCCAGCAAAGTTTTTTGATACTTTAATTACTTATAAACCAATCACCAAACTAATCGTAGTTATCACATGGTAGTTAACATCTACTAACATGGGTTGAATCAACAGTGAATGGTTTCATCAATGAATGTTATGTCATGATTTATTCGCCCTTAGCATTTTTTTAAAACTCCTTTCCTGCCTACCTTTCAGTAATGAATAGTATTTACTCTGTCTTATAATCTGACTTTATAAAAAATAAGTATCAAAACTTGGTTTGTAGGAGTATATAAAATTATCTGAAGTCTCTCTAACTCGACTACTTAGGTGCACTTTTTTGTAAACCATCGATTTATCATTGTAATATGTACCAAGAAGTACTCTAACTCTGACAATCTTTGAGTACCATGAGGTCATTAGAATAATTTGAAACCATCTTATATTTGTTCGTCTGAAATAATATATTTTCTGACTCTGAACTACCATTTTAGATCCCCTAAATACTACTAGACTTGATCCTTGAACAGTAGAAAAAAGGTGCAAGTAGGAATGATAGTTTTAATTCTGTTGTAGTTTCTGTACAGAAACCAAGCTTATTTATAGGTTGTGCGTGGGTTTCATCTTCTAGAAGCCGCTGCAAATTTCCATTAAATCCAATAACAAAATAAGTAATGCTTCAATCAAATTGTGATCCGCTACTTTAGACAGTGAAACATTTAAGATATAACATATTTAACACTAAATAGTTTAATTTCTAAATACTTTTCTGGAGAATAATCCGGTGTATCAATTAATTTCGCGATTTCTGTGTAACCTATAAATTGTATAAGAAATAACTTAAGTTGATATGCTTTGTTGTTATTATTTTACTATGATTGTCTGTTTTCTTCATAAGGTACATTAAGTGTACTTCTCCCACCTCGAACTCATGATGAACATTCAGGTAATATAGCTATGCTACGTTGGCCAGTTACAACAGTACAATTTTGGGGTGAAAATGCTGTTGGTACATGGCAGATACGTTTAGATAGTATTGTAGGCAGTGAAATAAGTCGGGCTGATCCAGATAACATTAAAGGATTTTGGCGTTCAGTTTGGATTGTCGCCTATGGTACAGATGAATTCCCTATACGTCTTAAACCTCCTACACCTGAACGTCCACCACCTCCGGTATGTTTTCTTGCTTGATGACTGTTGTCATCTGGTTTCTTTTTAATTTAAATAACCATTTTCATGTTACCATGCTGTTTTTCTAATTTGACGTTAGTTTCAATCACTAAATCCTATCAATTGAAGAACAATAATAGGAACTGAGGAGCTGTTCCCGTTTATTTCGAAACTCTTCAACGGTGTATACTAGATTTTAACGAGAAGCCAACCAATTTAGAAATTAGACGGCTATCTACTCGTGATATTGTGTAATAGAAACACTACATTACCAACAGATTGAATAAAAATAACGAACTGTAAATTCTCGATTTCGAACTTGAGTGGTGTTGTACTTTCATCAGATCTCAAGATTGTCTTTTGTTTCTGTGTTTGTTTATGAATGTTCAGTGTTGAAAGTTTTATTATGAAATTATTTTATTTATCAGGTAATTGAATACAAGCTACACTCTGATTGTAAGGGTTAATTAAACTACCAAGTTTCCCAAACCTCATTTAGTGAAGTGAGGTTTGAAATTGTGATTTAGAGATCGAAAATCGAACACCTTGATCTCTTAAAAACTGCTTCACTCAGCTTTTGATGGAAAGTAAAATGATATCAATGGAAAAATTATTTGAAGGACTGTTAAGTACAATAAAAGTAATAATTTGATTATTGATATGCTTGGTACATACCGTTAGTTTAGAATACCAATAATAAAGATTAAAATTTAGGTTTTGTAAGGTTCACTGAATAGCTTTACAATTCCATAGCATGATCTACACTTATACTGAATGAGATTTCATAGTATAGTCTATGAATCAAGGTGCTTTTATTCTTCATCTTCTCATACCAAATTCAAGGTCATTAGAATACTTCATTTAAATATTGACCTCATTATTTCTAATCTATTTGTCGATTTGTACTAATTTACTATTATTTTCATGTTATACATTGTTCTAGTTATTTATTTTTACAGTTTATGAATAAATTTAAATAAATTACAGATTTAATTATTATTGATAGTGTTTTGAATCTAATCCATGTACTCTATCAGGTCATCAGGATTCAAAAAAAAATTTTTTTTTCTTTTTAAAACCCAACCTTGTTCTAAATATGAAACTGGTCAACATAAAAACGTGTAATAATATATTTATGTTTTCACTTAGTGATAAAGATTAAATTTATGGCGTTATTTAATTGGTTAATATTTTATAACCACTAAAAGAAATTATAGTTTTATAACTTTAAACGAATTAAGATATTTTACTGAAACACCTGATCAAATTGTATTATTTGTAGATTGTTCAATGAAGCTTTTAATCTGTTATGTATTGAAAGTTAAGTGAACTAATTTAATTACTTATAGGAGTTTAATTGTATATATATAAAAAAATCTATTTAAGTACACTGTTTACATGAACATCATCTTAGATAAATTAGTTCTATCAGAATGTTTTTGTAGAGATTTATCGGATTTGTAGGTAGTTTACAGCACTAGTTGACCTCGGTTGGATTATCATTAAGAATCAGAGAACACTAGACATCTGTTATGTATCAGTGTGGAACTTCTCAACGGTGTTAAACAGCGATTCAGTGGGGGATCAATTGTTCAATAACCTTAATACTACTAATTTGTAACTTCATATTCCTTTTTTTCCAACACTAACTGAGGAAAGGTATCATGCGAAAATCATCTGATGACATTTATGATTGCTTGTTATATTGTCGATATAAATAAATACTATCAGTCACAAATTCACACTTTAGCTCTGTGCACTAATGTCGAGGTTAATTTCAAATAAACACACGATTATAATGGGATTGAAGAGTTTTATGGATATTAGCTTGATGTACATGTTCTATTCGTCACAGATTGATTGTCGTGATATTTCCTGAATTGATTAACGTTGGAAATGTGGAACATAGTATTCCAAATCAACAGTTCACACTTTAGGCGCTGTCTACTATATATGGAATTTTCGAATCCAATTTCTAACGAGACCATTGGCGTATACTGTTAATGAGTGCTATGATGAAATAAAACAAATCCCCTATGCTATCTGGTTTACAATGGTATTTCAACTAAAGTCAATCAGTGATGAATATCACCAACCAACAAAATAATTATTGGGTACTAGAATATTTCCAATTTCAATGTATATTCACTTCCTTATCTCATTTGTTTCATCAGTTTCCCTTTGATATTTTCACACCACTAGGTTGTTAGCTTTAATCACTTAAAATGTTTGGTACACGTACTATGTATCTTTCACTAACTCACCGTCCACTTCCATATTTAATTTTTGTTAAATGAAAACTTAGTGATCAAAATAAATCATCAGAACTAATCTGATAAAATCTCTTTTTTAAATATAGTACGAACTTCTAAAGAGATTATATAATTCTTAGTACTTATAGCCAATCATATGACATAGCTTAAATTTGACACTACTCGGATTGATGAATTTATTATTACTAATTGTACATGGAATGCATATTTCACCTAAACTTTTAGGAAGCGTTGCATAACATTAAATGAAGATTCGGGTTAAATAGATCAGACTATTATCACCACATCATTCTTTTGTTCTCTATTTTTTTCCTCCATAAGTTTGAACTACACTATCATTCATATCAATAGCATAGTAATAAATTTCGTCATTTTATTTATCTATTTTGTGTAATTTATTGCGGGATATTAATCTACAATTAAGTTGTACAACAACTGGATACATAAGATTGTACAAAATATTTCAACTGTTCAGTAGCATATATATATGTGTTTGTTTATTACTGTTTGGTGCACTTTCCGCATATTAGTTCAACTACTTATTATTCAGTATTCGTTTATTTATCTCCTATCTTCATTAATAGTCCATAGTAATGTTGCTCTGAAACTGGGACATATTACTTTATAAACAATTAAGTTTGGTAATTAGGTAGCGATACTGGTGGTAGATGTGTTTTGAAATTCGACTAAATTTGGAATGTTGGGATAAAATTACTCATTGGATTGTTTGCACAGTATTTTCAGTAATGATAGTGTATGATGTAGAGAGAGAGAGAGCTATAAAAATAGTTATTAGTGGTTTGTTTCTTTTTATTAACGTTTAATTTGCATTAAATAGGTAGCAAAATGTTGACTGACATGTTGTCAATTTCTGTGATCCATAATCATATGCTATTTTACCAATGAGTATCTTTGTCAGTTTTGAATTACTCTTTACTACATCTTAATAAGCACTGGTACCCTCACGACGGTGACACAATCTGCTATATTGAGTTCAATTAGTTCATTTGAGCTCGTAATACCCATTCAATCGACAACATAAAATAGGGTTTGTTTCAGTCTAATTCATTATTCTTAAGTTTGTTTTACTTTATTATATTTAATGATAGGAAACTGAATTCAAATAAAATTATTTAGACATGATTAAACTCTATTTGTTTCACTGATATCTTTATTGTACGTATGTTTGAATATAGATGGCTAGACTAAGTTTTGGAACAGTGATATTTATTATGAGGTCATTAAACCAATAAAATTTGTTTATGTTTATAAAGCAATCATTCTTTTCTTAATGACCTTTAAATTTACACATGTTCATAAATAAAATATAAAGATAGACATGAAAACGAAACATTGTTTACTTATTTGAACACGTTTTCTATATTTTCCTGCAATCAGTCAGTCATAATCACCCTAGAGCTTGTTATTCTAAGTCGTCACATCACATCATCACGACAATGTAGAAATTGAGATAATGAATATCAAAGGAGTTGGAATAATAGTAGTACCAATTATTGTGAGAAGGACTGAACTTTGCAGGATCTGGTTGACAAGAAGGAACAAAAATGTGCGCATCGAAATATATTTATATTAGAATTTATTGCGAAGATAAATTCTGTACTCATCTGCACCAGTATAATTGATTTAAATCCAAATATCTCCAATCCTGAGTTACATTTATCACGTGTATCACTAAATAGTCTTTGCCCACACCCCGTTCAACATTCAGTGGTTTCATAAATTGATGCTATGTCGTGATTCGTCCACTCCTTTGCTTTCTTCCAACTTACTCCGATCCCAGCCAGATGCTCTGGTAATTTGTAAGATATTCGAATAAAAATAATAATACTGATTGTTACCACTTCTTTTCGTCTGTTAAATCAGACAGTAGGAGATATTGATATTTAATTATTATTATAAGAAAATTGATTTTGTTGTATCATTTATTCTTGTTGTTAATGATCATATAATTGATCTTTGTCCCATTATTAGTAACTTTAAAATCATTGATGATCAGGAAATCGGGAACAAGTACAACTCATAATTGACATATAATTCTTAATTAAAATTAAAACAATTAATCCCTTTGACAAATTTCGATAATACAATGAGATGACAAAGATTATCAGAATTATGTGATGTATTTGAGCAATACATTTCGAACAATCTGACCACACATATACTTGTTAAGACATTTTCATATAAAAAAATAGAAGGTCAGCTAGACAGATTTAAGGTAAGCGGTAACAAAGAGAAATAAAGTACACAAAAACAATGTGTTAACCACTCTGGATAATAAATCAGTATTCCCAGGTTAGGTTAGGGGTAAGAACAAGTTGTGTGATCAGATTGTTCGAAATGTATTGCTCAAATATATCATATAATTCTGATAACCTTCCTCTTTTCATTACATTATCGAAATCCTCTTTAAACAATAAAAACATGAAGTCCTGAGAAGGGATCTTTTTATTGTAACAAAAACATTTTAATCATCTTACTTCATTCACATTATAATTCGTCACCAACTTACTAATTCTATTGTTATTATTCATATTATGTAATCTAGCATTATAATCTTTTCATTTCACCATCATGTTTATTCCTTATTCTCCTCACGAAACGTATACATTAACACAAAAGTGTTGCTCTTCTCAAAATGATAAAGTGAACTATGTGCATGAAATAAAAATTATATATATATACGATTGTACAGCTTGATAATAACTCAAAATATCGAAATTCAAAATGATTCGCTCTTTCATTTTAGATTTAAGTTAACACAGATTTCTCTACTATTCTGCAAATAAATTGTTCTGTAATTGTTGTTTTTTTGATCCTGTTATTGCAAAGGAATGGTTTAAATCATTTTCGAAATATGTTGTTGATGATCGAGACTGGCATAAAGTGTATACAGTAAGTTGTTGTTGCTTTTTTCTTTCATTTATGTTTCATTCAAAACTGTCTAATTCTACTAAGCCGTCGAATAAATATATGTAGCTATAACATTGTAATCAGTACTACTTATCTGATGTTAGTCTCTACATTATCTTTCAACTTTTGTTAATAGTTAAAAAGTAGAAATTTTATCCAACCTGAAGTCAAGTTACGAAATGAATTTACTTAAGCTTCACGGTTTTAGTCACCTAAAATATGTAGTTGAAAACTGTTATATCTTTTTATGAATTATTTGAAGTTCTATGATGTTGTTATGCATTGTAAATGAATGGATTTTCGATAATCCAATAAGAAGACGAAGTTTATCAGAATTGTGTGATATATTAGGGCAATACATTTCGAACAATCTGATCATACATATACTTGTTAAGAACATTTATATATGAAAATTAAAAGGTCAACTAGACAGGTTAAGGGTAAGTCATAACAAAGGAAAAAATAATAAAGTACAACAAAAACAAAAGTGATTACCACTCTGGATAGTAAATCAGTATTGCCAGGGTAGGTTAAGTGTAAGGACAAATTGTTTTTGAACACATAAAGGGGGTTTCAATTTCCGTATAGCCAAGGCTTCAATAAACCTTAGTATTACGTCCTTCAAGGCTTTTGTATAACACTACAAATGCTGATTTGACGTCAACCTTATGACCCATCTCAATCAAATTTTTCTCAATGGAGGATGATGTCTATCTGTCCTGTGGTCTTATTTGACCATTGAAGCCTTGCCTATATGGAAATTGAAACCCCCTTTATGTGTTCAAAAACAATTTGTCCTTACACTTAACCTACCCTGGCAATACTGATTTACTATCCAGAGTGGTAATCACTTTTGTTTTTGTTGTACTTTATTATTTTTTCCTTTGTTATGACTTACCCTTAACCTGTCTAGTTGACCTTTTAATTTTCATATATAAATGTTCTTAACAAGTATATGTATGATCAGATTGTTCGAAATGTATTGCCCTAATATATCACACAATTCTGATAAACTTCGTCTTCTCATTGCATTATCGAAATTTATCAAAGGGACTAATTGTTTTGAATGGGTTTTCATTTCATGTATAGTGTATCTCTTAATATTACTGAATCTATTAAGTCATTACCTACTCGTCACACTATTTTGCAAACCAGTTAAATCTACAAACTTTTAAATAATCGAATTCCATTCATTGATTCTCTCATTATTATCATCTTGTTTAAGTTTGGTTTCAGATAATAGCAGTCACGTTTAATGTATTGTAAATGAGTTACCTTGAATACAGTGTTTCCCAGGAGTTCTTTAAATATTAGTTCAGAAAATCTAGTTTGTTCCAGCTTTATTATGATTGTTTGTGAATAAGCAAATTCATGAATTAAAAAGATAATAAGAATGCTTTAACTCAGAAGTTCTCAAAAACGTCAGCCTATGATGAACTCACAATAATATCCAGCTCTTAAAATGCTATCCTCCTATTGAGCTTAAATTTAATAGTTTGATTTTTTTATACAGTTAGCGGTATGTTGTGATCTTCAAAATCATGCCACTTATGAATTACCGTTTCACTCGTGACTAAGTTTGGATCCATGGTTTAATCACATATGAGATCATTGATGGATACTGATGATAATCAACCACATGTTAAGGATAAAACGTTTTCTTTTATTGTGATCGGTCGTCGATAAAAGTTACATTTGCTACTGTTAATACTTATATAGTTTTATTTTCAATTACATGTATAACATTATAAGTTAGTTTGTAGATAGTAAATTCTATGTTATGGTATTAGTAATAATTTTCATTTCATCGTTCTCAGTGTCATTATGAATGCGCACCTGGTGGTTGTACAGGTCCAGCAGCTGATCAATGTTTGTATGGATGTAAACATTTTGCTACTGAAAGCCGGTACGTTCTAAGTTGTTACTGAGATTTATAGGTTATACGTTTTGCATTTCTTCGTTAATTTTAAAGATATGTGTTGCATCATATGCAAAGGTGAATAGTGGCTAGCAGTGGAATATAGGACTCAGTAGCTAAGTGTATAACGCGATGGCGTTTGAAGCGAATAGTACTGGGTTCGAGTCCCGAGGTAAAAAGTAACAGTGAGATGCAGGTTCATCCAGATTACGAGTCCCAAATATGGCGAAACGTACGTCCTGGATTTCACTGCTAGCCATTATCCATACTTGCTTGTAATGCTTGTGACTTACTGTCAATATTGAGGTAGTCCCGCACATGATGTACATAGGAGACTGATGAATTGCAGTTCTAAACGTCAATGGGAAAATTCAAAAAAACGATCCAAAAATGAATTATTTATTAAATTGTATAAAATTCTACACACGTAATACACAATCTCACTTTCTACACAAAGATGAAACTAGTTGTTTATTTTTACAGATACTTCTAATTAGTTTGAACAAAATAGTATAATTGTGTTTACTGCATCATTCAGAATCCAGTTATTCCAGTTGAAAAATTAATAATGTGCGGCAGGAGGTGGTTGCCCATAAACAGGAAGAAGCTATAAATATAAGCCTCGTGACAAATGATACCCTACAACAAACCATTTAAATCCTGAAGAAACTAGTTTCCTTCCTGTCAGATTTGACTCTGCTTTACTACAGTTTTGCAGAGCCATAAGCTAATTACAATACTACTAATTGCTCGTAGAACCGAGCTGTTTACATTAATCTTTCAAAGACTGGTTGTTACAAATATATATATGTGAGCTCGTATCGGAAAATACTAAAGTAATATTTCGGTCAGAAAATTAGTTTATAAAATAAACTTAATAATCATCAGAAAATTACCTTCTGAAGTGTTGGAATTCTTTAATCATTATGTTTATAAACTTTTACTGGCTAGTGGTCACATTAATTCCCATTTAGAAGAACACTCTATTCAGGAAATTATAAATATTTATTTAGAGACAATTTTACGATTCCTTTTTTTTGTATAATATATGGATTATTTAATATTTTAAAAGTATGTAAATAATTCTGAATGATAACAATAAACTAGGTAAATACTCATATAGTAAATAAGTTAGAAAATTAAAGTTCGTTAGTGGCTAGCAATGGATTTAAAGTTTACGAACTAGGTATTTTCGTTTATAATGTTCAATACAATAGTGTTAACAATAATAGTTTCCACAAATAAATATTTGGATAGTATACCAAAAATAAACTAAACCTATTTCGTTTTCAATGTTAAACAGCTTCAGATTGATCTATAATTCATAATTAATTATCATATAGAAGTGGTTAATAAGTTGTAACTGTATGAGAAATAATATTCAGTATAATAAATCATACATCATCATCCTATTTGTCATTAAATAATGGAAACATTTTCCTTGTCAACATTAAATTAGAATACGCCAAAATCACAGGAATATATATATATATATATATATATATATATATAACTGGACAAATTTTTCTGCCAATATTCTTCGTAGTTATTATCGAAATTGATTTGACTATACGTATGAAGTAACTTGTGATGGGGGATAATTTTTCTAAAGATTTAATTTACTATGTACTAGCTATTAAGTAGCTATATAAACACAAAACCTGTAATGATAAACAAAGCATTTTTTTATTGATTGCTTTTGGTTAGATTGCGCAAGATTTTCAAATCACCTAATGTTTACATAACGCAGAATGATAAATAGATTTAATGCAATTTCGAAGCTTAAACAACAAACAGGTGATAGGGATGCCCCAAAGGGAAAACGGATCAAAACTATGAAAATTTCTTACACCTACACGTAAAAAAAAGAGAGAAAAAATTTGGGAGTAGAAAAGGCATGGTATCAAGATCTATAAGATTGATCTAATTTAAAGATTAATTACTAGACAGTTTAGTATTGTCATTTCTCCAAAATATATTTACTAAATATTTATATACTACTTAGAATCTAAACAGGAACAAAGTATACTTACTTAAGATGGACAGTAAAATGTATTCTTATCTTTTCATTACAATCGATTTATATCCGATCTTATGTAAAACCTTGAATAATTACACATTATTTTGTCTATCTCTTCATTATTTTGTTTAGACAATGTGTATCAGTTTGTCCTCTTGGGACCACAGCTTTCGGTGCCTTACGTCTTGGTACTTCGTTGAATAATTACGCTAATGCTAACAATAATGATAATCATGATAATAATAATAATGAACAGGATTCACGTGATCGTATTAATCCTGAAACACTATCACCATTATTTGGACGTATACGAACTAGTAGTAATTATCAATTGGGTATGTATGATAATAGTAATAGCTTTATCAATACAAACAGTTATAATCAGCAAGGATTTAAAAATGAAATGGTTTGTCAACCATGTTGGTCATTATGTTCAGCCTGTATACGTCCTCATATTGAATATGACTGTACAGCTTGTTTAAATCAACGTTTCTTAGTTCCATTATTAACAGCAAATGACGAAGCTAAAACTGTGTTATTTTCATATACTCAGGATAATAATGATCATGGAAATACAAAATTGATTAATTTTAATTTACCTCAAGTAATTGGCACATGTCGAACTGAATGTCCAATAGGCTTTTTTGGTAATAAATCATCTTCAATATGTGAAGCGTAAGTTAATTTTCTATGTATGAACGAGAATCATTCACTATTGACTTTAATTATGTATATTTCTGAATGCGGATATGCATTGGTTGTAGTTTAAATAAATTATGTGTTCTTCTTGTTTCTGTGGTTACTATTTCAAGTTTGTTTTTCTCTTTACTCTGGTTGATTACTGATTGGTCTAGTCCTTTGTGTAGATCGAATCTAATCAGTAGGTATGCATTTTATTCACTAGTTTAAGTGATTCAATATTATATATATTATGTTTTTTAATGCTAGGGAGTTAAAAATGATCGGCAGATAGCCTTGGGTTTAGGTTCCGTGGTAGTTAGTACTCCTTGAGATAATTTACCTGCAGTCTTGTGGGAACTGAAGTCACGTCACTCATTGTCACAACCTAAAATGTTATCACTGAGTTATTTGAATTATGACTGATCTGTGAAATTGAGATGTGCGTTAACAGATCATTGAGTAGTCGTAACAAATATAATGTTTGTCGTCTAGTTCCTTATGAACCCCTAATTATATCGACCAAGTTACAGTGTGGCCACTAGTTTAGTTGGTTCGACATCGCATACACTGTTTTTGAATAAAAATAAAGAGAATTCAGCGAAAAAAATCTTTTCGACCACACTTTTTCTTTATTTGAGTTTTTGTGAAGTATTACAACTTTAGTTAGTTTAACTTTCATGTGAGACAATGAGTTGAAGTATTTGTTTATGGTTTGTTATTTATTAGTGATGTTTTTAAAAATATACGGTATTTTTGCGCATTATGTGTCATTATGATGGCACATTATCAATAACACGGTAAATGACATTTGTGTTTTAAAGTTGATATAGTGTATTGTAGCTAAAAGTATTTCTTTTTTTTTTTTGAGTAACTGGCTTCTTTTACTTTGTTGACATATGTTTTTTTACGTTTGAGATTAAGTAGGCTGTTAGTGTATTCATGTTATTAGGCTACAGCTTTTAGACATGTGACAGTGACTCAGACTGTGATTTATACAAAAAATTTTCGACCAAATTAACATGACTGAATTATTTATGTGATAGCTAATGATTTTTATATTTTTTGTCATGAACTGAACTGGTTAAGGTTTCTCATCAGAACTTCAGGAATGGTCCTCTATTGGTTAGTGAAGTCCAACTGCGTTGATTTACTCAACAACGGCATTGCGTTGCAAAATATCTTGAATTGATTGAGGTTAGTCATATAAACCCATGGATCCCAACTCAGTTGTTCAGAGTTTAGGTGCTCACCACGATACCTGAGGATCCTAGGCTCGATTTCTGGTGGGTTGTCAGTTCGTAATGTTGAGCAGTCTCATACTGTGATAAGACAGCTTTCCAGTGCTTCATGTTTTCCGTCGGCTGTCGAACTAAGGTTAATGGGTCATGTAAACTATAATATTCAACAATCTCCATAAACACCTCATACGAGTTAATTAATGGTCTTTCATTTGTCTCCGTTCTAACAAATTTACGTAACCTAGGTCTCTTAACTAAATTGATCATTCATTTAAAACAATGGTGTTGAAATGAACAGAAACAACATGGAATTTGGGAATATTTTAGTGATCGGTTCAAAATTCTATATAGTTGTATACCAACAAACTGACAGGAAATTTTTTAAGACGAGGATGATAGTAATTTTATCGGGAAGTTTTTAAAAAATCTCAAGTAAAGAAAGTAAGTAAAACATCTGAATTGAAAAAAATGTGCCGTTATGGCGTACGTTGTTTAGAATGCAACACATGATAAACAAAAGATACAGATTCTCAAATCGACTACTGTCGTTAAGTTTTACTCATATTACTTGTTCTTTCGACCGGCAATTTTAGTTGTTCTTATGTTTCAACCGAAATATCAAACATCCTACCATCTAGTTTAGAGATAAGTAAATGGTTTCTCGTTAAATAACATTTAGTATTCTGATTTCTCTTTATATTTGTTTTACTCCATTCATCATCATGTTGACAGTCTTCGTTCACAACACTGCTACTACTACGATTGCTCAAAAAATAGATATCGTAAATTTGTTCCAACCTTAGTCTAGATTTGTAGTTTATATTGATAATTTTGAAATTGTTTCACACTTTTCTATTATCTTAACACCTGGTTTTTGTTCTATGTATTTTCACACTTGGCAAATCATATATATATTCCATGTTTACTTAATTAAATAACTTTAGTTAATCGTGTAGCAACTTGTAATATTTAAGGCGAAGTGACATTGTTTGTTTGTTTGCAGGACTTGTTCTTGACAACAAATTTAGTGTGTTTTTAGTAAACATAAACGTGGGTTTTATGTTTACATACAAATTTACGCTAGGACTTCTACTCTCTATATACAGTTTGTTTTTAAACAGCCTGCATATGTGGTAATGTAACCCACCTAACAGTTACGGATCCATATACTTGTCCTCAAGTCACACTATAAAAATGGAAGTAAGTGATACTACTCAGCTATCGTACTCGAATTGGATGAAGCGGAGTTCGAACTTGCGACTTGGTTGTTTAAAAGTCAGAGCTTTAACTACTGGGCTACCGCTCCACTCACCAGTACGTGTAACATATACTTATCCTTCGTGTCAGTTAGTTGGAGCTAACTGATAGGAAACTCGAGACCTAGGTTTCGTACTAGTTGGCACTTGTCAGTAAGATCTACCTAAATTCTTGAAAAAACACTCCTTATTTGGTCACTCAGTTTCATAGTTTAAGATGCTATCGCTTAGCTATTCGAGTCAGTTATCTTTTATAAATTACTTTCACTGATAATATATGAGTATATATTATTCAGTTATTATTATTATTTGCAAATAATGATTAGATTGTTTGTGAACGTTTCAGTAAGGAGTAATCCTCTGAAATGAATATCGCAATTGTATGACATTGATATCTACTCTATAACTAGATTATGCCATCATCTTAATTCGACAGCAGATCATTCGTGACTGGAATATATCTCAGAGATAATATCTCTTACTGTCGTACTGAATGAGGCTGGTTTGATTCTGTGAACAGTTGTCAATTTCTTAAAGACTGTGGATACTCCTTTCTGCTTATGATGAACATTAATCATATGAAACCCTAGAACCCATGGATTTATGCAGCCAGTCAGCAACAACGTAGAACTTCGTATGTACCTACATCATTTCTAGTTGCCATACCACGTTAGCACAGAGATACAATTGTCGATTCAAATCCCATAGTAGTAGAGGTATTAAAAGTACAAGTAATAATCGGAAACATTATAGTTCGAAGATGTTATTCAAGGAGTATAATCTAGTGAAATAAATTTGGAAAGAGAAAAAAGGGACATGAAGAACTCAGAAGATTAGAATTCGGGAGAACACAAAGAGTGGATGCACCTGCACTATTGCAAACGATTTTGAGCCATGTCATTCAGGGTCTCTAACCATCGGTTGCTATCGTCTCGTGGGTCCCAACCAGGTTGTCTACACCTACCAACATGACTCAGTCCACTTGTCAGTGACTTCATGGATTTGTGTCATGTTTTGGTTTGGTTGCCCCTAGCTTTCTTCCAACCTACTCCTACACCATAAAACATCGCTCGCTACACTTAACCCCTCAACATGAATCAAATCGCATTGTGATATCGAGTCGTTTAGTCTAGTAGCCATATTTCAAACGCATTCGATTAAAACTAGACGCTAAATAATCTAATACCAATTAATATATTTTATTTATCAGGTTGTCGTAAAGAATTACAGTCTTTAAGTTTCTTATAATCGCTCATCGAAGTAGATGCTGTGCACTGAATTTTATAGTACAGAAAATTTTGTCAGTTTTTCTTCATAATTGTTAATTTAGTAAATGTTTACTATGTTTTATTTGTTTTATTGTTGGTACAGAAGGATTCATTATCCTCAAAAATATATCATCCTTAATTTATTTTTAAGTGTTTATGTTGATCCGCAGTCTGTGATTCAAATTTTTATTTACAAAAGATTTGTGTCGAAAGGAATAAATTATGTTAAAATATCGACAAACTAAGCTGTAAATACTTATAGTCATACCACAGTTTTTTGCTTTGGTCAGTAAAATACTATCTTGGAAGAACTTAGCGTTTGTATTATAGTGAATATTTATCATTGTCAATCCATAAAGTCAATAATAGCAAGTATCAAGTATAAAAGGCCATACATAACCTGTAGATTCAATCAAATCACAGGTGAGACAGCAACTCGTAGATGGCACTGAGTGATTGCCTTAATCATACATTAGTATTGACTCCTTATCAACTTTTTTTGTTTATTGCTGTTTTCCCAACAGTACACATACTATACTGTTTAATTATAAAAAAAAATTGTTATATTCCCTACTCTTGATAAACCGTAAAACTACCTTTAATTAATAAAAATTTTGATGATCACGGTTCTGTTTGGCCAAAGTAGTACAAGAGTTTTGTACTCGGAACAATACTTCTTTATCAATTGTTCATGTAGCTCAGATATTTCTTTTAAGCTGATATATTAAAGAAGATGATCTTCTGTTATGTTCCCTTGTCAAAACGTGAATTTATTTAGAATCCATATACATAATTTTGTTACTTATTTATTCAATTATATATCATAAATAGATTCACTTAGATTCGAATCTACCTAAGTTTTAGCAAAATGATTCTAGTGTAACTTATCATATTATTGTTATGAAATCTGGTAGACTGAACCAGTTTTTTATGTTTTTTTTTTGTTATTCATCAACGAAATACATATTTGCTTTATCTGTGTATATACTCTCCTGACAGTTAAGACACCTCATACATATTGTGTATGACCTTTCCGTAATCTATACTAGTAATTAATGATTATAGTATAATAAATAGGTGATTGTTTTCATATAAATTATTTACCGATTACATATGTGAGTATAAATCAGTTACTGTTTAATGTACGTCACATTTAAAATATTTCAATTGGTTCCGTATAATATGTGTATTCCGGTAATTATTTCTCTATGTGACAAAACATACACGCTTAATTTCGTTACTTAGTTGCACCTACATGTGTTTAGTAAAACGATACTCGATTGAGTTAAAACCAGTTGAATAATTCTCAAAATTCATATTCTTATGAATTTTAAGATCTAGATACTTTAAAATTATTCTGGTGTGTTTGAAGGGATTACGATATCACCTAAAATTGGAGAACGGAATGAAGGATCAGCGACACAACGACAAGACAAGCTAAACTATTCCAATTCATTCCAGCCCTGCTAAGTAGAGGGAAAGACCCGGTTCATATGAGGGAAAGGTATGTTCCACAAACACCCAGAAGCATGAACAACAACAAGCACACAACTCAAGCACATATGTACAGCGTAAAAATGTCCTTGGAAAATGTCACAAAATAGGAACGAACCAATGACATCTAGGGTAAATACAATCTGAAGATAAAAATGCTCTTTTTTCGCGAAAATGAGAAATTCAAATTTTTAAAATAAAATTTCAAAAATAAGACATTTGTTAAGTGATTTCCGGGGATCTTGCATCCTCAGCGTATTCATTTTTCATCTCTCTGTTTTTTTAATTTAAAAAATCTAGGTGTGCCGAAAATTGTGCACAATGTGTTGGATCGAAATCGGATGAATGTCGTGAATGCTATTCCGGTTTCCGGTTAATTCATGGAAAGTGTGTTGATAGTGCATCACCTGATGGTCGCTGTAAATCGGGTAATTTTATGTGTCCTCAACTATTTACAATATTTCTTGTTAGTATTAAATCTCTGAACGTGATTTTCCGCATATAAACATTTCTGTACATATATTTCTATTTTATCGATAATGTTGTAAAGTAATTCAACTTACAGTCTAAGTTTCAAATTGCTTTCGGATAGCCCACATGTTGTGGAATCAATGAAATACAATGAGAAGTCACTTAAACTAGAGTCTAAATTCGCCCATTTTCATACAGTTGAAAAGGTTAGCAAAGTTTCATTTAACTAATTACCTTTAAACTGCACCTGTTATGTGAAGATTTAAGACAATAACTGATCAGTGAAATAGGGTCGGACACATAAAATTTAATTCGCAATTACAACTTAACCATAGATTGGTCATAACTAAAGAAGGCTACATTATTTAAACGTTGATAGTCTCCAAATAGGCGTCAGTTTTGATCTTGTTCTTGGAACTATGCGTAACAGATCTACCTATGGACTGATTGACTAGCGAATAATTTTCAGTTTCATCATATGTTCGGATTCCTTCCTTGCATTCTTCAGTTTCTCAGGTGACAGGCTTCTTGGTCTTTTACTAACTGATTGACTAGTTGTGGTCATGTGATTTGAAGTGTGATCTGTGTGGTAATTTGGTTTAGTGATATCGTATTCGTCTAGAATGTTAGTGAAAATGTTCTTCTATGGCTTCAGTACATATACGCCATAAGTTTCGCATTTGATCGTGATACCATTAACCTGAAGACTTGTCTATCCACTAATGAATTTACTAGCATTCACACCAACTTGCAGGTTATAAACACTAAGGAAGTTTGCCCTTAGGATAGACTACCCAACCTCTGCAACTATGGAAATTCACGATAAACGTTGACGTAGTCTAATGTCTAATATCAACGATTGCTCACTAAACGGGCAGAATTATCAGGTATATGTAAGTTAGCTGGACTTACTCATTATAATGTTGTTCGCCTTTGTTTTAATAACAAAAGCTTAAAATCAGACGACTTTGTCGATGATCTGGCAGATATGCAGAATTACGTCTCTACTTTCTCACATTAATTATCTTTCGCTATCGCAAAAATCTCAAGATCACCAGATTTTATTTATTTATTCATTTTAACACATAGATATTGGTACAAGGAGGCACCAAATACATATACGCCACAGAAATCTCATTCGATATGTGTGAGGGCTGTGATACTTCCCGGGTGCCCAAACCGAAGCAGGTGGTTTTCTTAGGGGGCCATATTCGGAGCCTTCAACCCTAAAGGTCTGATCCACAAGGCAGTGGAGCAACGTAAGGAGATGCAGTCCCATGGAAGCCGGTGACCAACAATTGGTTCATACGCCATTTGTTCCTTCAGGATACTGGAGCCCATGTGCAGCATTGGTTTGAAATCAGGGTTTTCCAACGTCCCTAGGTGGACTCACCGTGTCCACCGGCCCTGTTAAAGCGCCAGACATTCGCTTTTCGTCCTCTCATTTTCGTAAACAACCCCCCCTCGCCACGAGAGGGCAGTGAGTAGGGCTTCCCTGTCAGAGGCTGTATACGCGTGGCCATGTGAGAGCATTTCGAGAGGGAGAGAGGACTCTTCCCACTCTCGGCCGTACCAGGTCATTTGGGGGCGATCACCAAATGGTTGTGCAGTGTTTATTGATGACCGAATTTTTACTGAGAATGTTATCTGACAATATTTTTCAGATTTGCAATTAAAGTATGTAACTTAAACCACAAATAACCAAAACATTTGCTAAAAACTCTCGAGATTTCCATATGCTCAAGCATAAACTAATTAACGCCTTATCTGTATTTTATATTTAAGTAATATGGATACATTATTTCCAAATTTCTTAAACAATATTTCTCTATTTTTTTGTCATTTTCGTTTTTTCTCTGATTTTCTTTAAGGACAATATTTAAAACATTCCAAATGTGTAAACTGTCATCCATCTTGTGATAAAACAACTTGTATAACATCAGATCAATGTATTTGGTGCCCTATTCACTTACCGTAGGTTAACGAAATTTAAAAATCATTTTTTTATTAACTTGTTTTCTTTTTGTATCTGTTTACTTCTATCGAAGGGGGCTTGCCAGACATAAGAATTGTTAGTTGTTATTCCTAATTGAAAGTCAACTAGGAAATAGAATTTCTAACCATAGTTAAGATTTTATATTATATTGGTCTCACAGCCTATTAATTTTTAAAGAAGGAACGAATCGAGTGAAGAAATTCCTTTTCAATTAGTTTTTCACTATAACTCTACACTAATTTATATTGATTTACAGTAATGAAATAATACTCATCGAGTAGATACGTTACGTAATAATCGTGTAGTGACACGTTGATTATAAATTAACATTGGGTAATTGGAAGAAAGAGGATTAGTAATAATCAAAGTAATTATTCGGAAATCAAGCAGTTACTACGTTGCACAACATATAAAAAAAGAGAAGGAACTAACAAAATATTTTGATGAATGGTCAGTGGTATAGTATTTATGTAAGAATCAAGAGACGAATGTTAAGAACAAGTAAAATACAAAAAAATGGAAGAAATACGAAAATAGTATATCAAAGTTCTACTATGAAATCCCCTATACCGATGGCAAAGGTAGCGAGAGTGGTTGTGCAAACATTTTTTGGACGCAAAGGTTAGGTTTGTGAACATGGATTGGAATGGCTTCAGCAATGTCCAAAAACGCACTCGTAAAACATGTGGCAAATTTGATGGAATATGGTGGATAACCTTAAAAGCTTTATTCAGTTCAACTTGATGACCTATGTCCACCAAGTGAGCGAGAATAAAACTCTTAATCACTCTTACCTGTCCTTTGCTCAATCAGGACGTATGGTGTTCTGTTATACGATGACGAACTTGCCGAATTGTACACTCTATATAACTGACTCCACTGGAGCAGTTGAGTCGATAAATACACACGGATGTGGCGAATTCAGACAATCTGTCTTTATTAACCGTTCTTATTGTGGGGCGGTTGTAAAAGACTGTACTCAGTCCAGCTGCATTAAATGTTTTCGATGATATAATTTTTTGAAAGTGCATAATTATGTTTTTAGTAATCTACCAAGTATAATAGTCTATTGAGAATCAAAAATTTAATTACATCATAGAATGTTCATAAATTCAAGTTATCAAAGGAATGTTGCGTAATTGATAATCTAAAGATTAGAAAACAATAATAAGATGAAGTTGGTTTACAAACCAAGAAGTATGGCAGGTATTTGTCCACTTGGGAGATATAAAGCGGAAATAGAAGATATGAAGGTGGTAATAATAACTGGATGATAATTATGAAAAGTTGGAAGAGAATAATAACAAAAGATAGCTGAATAAAAGAAACTAGAAGCTTCATGGTCATGGTAACTGATTTATGATGTAAATTGGTTAATTTACCAAAACTAAATCGCTCCAAAATTTCATAGACTATTATTAATATTCCAACCTTAGGCACTTGTTGTCAAACAAGTTATTCTATGAGACTTCGATTTATGGACGACCATTGAGCGACCCCAAAGTGACCTGGAAAAAATTCACCTATCAAAAAGGGTTGTAAATTAGCTTGAAAAAAGTAAGATTCAAATTTATAGTTTAGAAGTTAAGATTAGGAATTGAAGTTGGGTTTTCATCACTGACATCAGCTATAATACCAAAATAGTATTTAACCATATAGACGAATGAATTTCGTACGAAAATCCAAGACTTGCTATCTTTACTTTCATTGGTTCGTCGACAAATTATAATCTCTCCAGTTATTCTTGTTCTAAGAATGTTTATTGATGTCTTTCAAATGATTGTCATTTCATCAAGTTGTGTTCAAATTGAACAGAAGCATATGTATTTCAATAATTTAATTTACTTTTTTCCGTATTTCTAATTGTTTTATTCGTCTGCTTTAAACACAGAAACTTTTTTAATTCCACCTGTACAAAATCTTGTCCAGAAGGTTGGTATTCTGGTGAACAAATTCAATCACCATTTTATGCGAATATTGTACAGAATGAAATGCTACCACCTAAACAACCAATACAAATATGTGAAGCTTGCTCGCCCGGTTGCCAAAAGTGTATTAATTTCAGTGTATGCGTAATGTGTTTGCCTGATTTGGAACTTCACAATGGTACATGTAAATTGCCCTCAGATGATAACAATAAAACTTTGAGTAACAGGTAAGTTATTATATTAGGAAAATCTATGGTCATTGCATTCTTCTCAGTTTTTATGCTTTGTATAAATCATAAATATGAATAAAGATCCATTCCTAAGATTAATTTAATCGCAGAAACATTGAGTATTTAATTGGTTATTGGGGTCCTGTGAGTTCTGTAACATTCTAGAAAGGTTACTGATAGTAACAAGTTTTACATACCTGGCCAATAACATTAAAGTATAACATAGTGAATTGGCATTTGAAATTTCCATAGAATGTTATAAGAGCGCTGATTGGCTACGAGGATTTAGGATATTCTTTAAAAATATTATAAACAACTAATATATATCAGGAAGCACCTTCGATTTATGCTAGATACAAAATAACTCATTTATTTCCTCTATACTTGACCTGAGGATTTTCTAATCTATCATTTATTCCAGCCAGCATTATATGTCAAAGCAGTCTGTGTATTAGCAACCCTAACTAGTTTAATTTGTTTGACCAAAAGTTTTACTGCATGTAAACATCTGACCACTGATTCACATATATACTAATTGTTTGGATCTTCCGATTAATGTTTATGATTGCGATTGATCGGTGCCTTTTGGCGTATGTGCATTCTCTGCGGATTGCTTCAATATTCCCATTAAGTCCCAAGCACTGTAAGCAGAGATGGGTGTTGGCAATGTTATGACTTTTGTCCCTGTGCTATAACGATGATGCGTTAACCAGCACGAGTAGCCTTGAGTCAACTCTGAGCCCTTATTACTCTTCTGTATAACAACTTTTCGCCTAACCCAGTTCATTGAGTTTAGAACAAAAATATCAGCCTCCTCTGTGCGAATCATATATTTCAGATATATGTTGTTTATGTACAAGCAGACCAGACCGCATCACACCATAAAATGAAAAACAATAATTATACGAAATCAAGCTAAAAGTGTTTATGAGTATAGGAACTGTAGCTAATAGATTGGGAATAAATTAAGAATGGTAAATCATATAACAGTAGTCAATAAGTTAAATAAAAGCTTATGATAAAAGGAGTATGAATAAACGTAATCTAGTTACTAAATAATTATCCAATAAGAGTATATGCAATAACAGTCCATGAATAATCCCTAGCAGTTACTATTCATATATTCTTCGTTCGGATGTAACAGGGTAATATTGGAATCTAGAATGCGCGTTTAGCCATATGTGAGACTCGTCAGCGAGATGTTCCTAGACTCCAGGACGAAACGCGTACCCTGGATTCCACTGTTAGCCACCATTCGTGTCTGCTTACAATCAAGTTCGTCTAGTAATTTCATGATATCTACCGTTAATGTATAGGCTTACTGTCTGACTGAATTTGACGATTGGATGGACGAATGAATGAACTATAACCCTAGGTTCTCCTCTTGATTTTGTATATCCTACTTAGGTTAACCCCATTTGAGCGATGGTGGTAATAAAAATCCTGATACGAATCAACTTGTAAGAATTCATTTCAGACATCCCTTTTTTGCGGAGAAACGATGATAAATGCAAAATCAAGAAAGTAAACATGCCTACTCAATTCAATACAGCATGACTCAGTATTTGTAGTCAGACATAAAAACAAGCTAAAGGCATATGATGAAGAACCAAGTGATAAACACACACACATGCGTTCATATAAAGACAATCAAGGTTACTAGCGTATAACTGACACGGTAGAGTTGTGTATGGTTAATGACTCAAAAGAATAGATCAATTGGTCTATCCAAAAGCTAGAATAATCCACATAGGTATGAAATACTACTAAATGCTACAAGTGAATTTGCCTTACAAATAACTGTATGGTTGAATAGATAGCGTTGATTCATTATGCTCCACGTGTTCTTCGAGAAACAAAGGATCGAGTTTTCTATATTTTATGTATAACGAATATATGTATTAGAACCCATTGTTTTATATGTCTGTTGATTCTGTCAATCACCGGCTAGCCGTACTATCAAAACTATACCATACCGATGTTTTAAAGCGATTTTAATGATGGTCTTGGGATTAACCTATTAAAAATAACCAATCGGAACGCAGATTTTGTGCAAAGGCTCTAAAATACAGAAAAGCACTGGACGGCCGTCTCATCCTAGTATGGGACTCCTCAACAGTGCTCACCCACGACCCCGCACTTGGGATTCGGACCCAGGACCTTCGGTCTGGTGCGCTAACACTTAAACTCTAGACCACTGAGCCGACATCCAACGGTGTTAATGTATAACTTCAATCGATTTATGATCTTGCACAACCCTTTATCCAATTCTATTTAAATGGTTACATGTTATGACCTTGAAGCACATAACAACTTTAACAAGACTAAAATAGTTAATAGCTAGTCAAATAATATCGAAAGTCATTGCGGAAATAAAAAGTAGGCAAATTGTATCAGAGTTATCTTTCGGACGAAGAACTAAAACGTAGCAATAAATCTAGATAACCTATTCTCTTCTTAACAATTATAAAATATCTTTAAGTCCTGTTTCCATTGAGCTTATATGGAGGACTGCGCTTACAATAAAATTATTAAATCGGCTGATATTAGAGAAACAGCGTGATGTGTTTAGTTAAATTTTTCCTCATTTTCATACACCAAAACCAAAACCAAATCCTTTTTATTCAACTCTGTTTTCTTGTTTTACCTTTTATGCACCTGTAGTCAGATTAGTAACAGGAAATCACCAAATCAATGTGGTTCTGAATCATGTTCAACATGTTATGATGGTGTAGACAAGACCTGTCTTCAATGTCCACCGAATTATCATTTACTCGAGATCACACTATTCAGTAACTTACAAAATTTTAATTTGTTCAGTGGAAATCCTAATAACCTGACACCCTCTTGGTCATCCATCTTACTGTCTTCCTCTCCTACATCATCATTATTACCACCATTATTATCATCATCGTCCATATCAAGGTTGGATGAGACAGGTAATACAAATAATTCAACAGTAATATCGTCAACTAAAGCTGGACTCACTGCACTAACTGCACCAACTAATTCTGTTATACCTAATTCTTTCAGTAATACAACAACTAAAACTGTGAATACAGACAGTTTAATTCTAAAAATACCCAATTTGTTTAGTAAAATTATGAGGAATCGTCTAGCATTGACTACTAGACGTTTTGTACATAATAATAATAATACTAATAATAACGAACATAATTCTAATAGTGTTGTTAATATACCTCAGCCTAAATTCATCTGTGTACATACATGTCCTAATGGTTATTATCGGAAAAGTATGTTGATTAATGGTGATGAGGTTACAATGTGTTCAAAATGTCCACCTTCGTGTTCTACTTGTACAGGTAGGTTTTTCCGTTTTTATAGTTAAATATTAGTTATTATAGCACATTAGTTTAATTTACTCAAAACATCGAAACTTAATTGTTTTCTTGTTGTATTCCATGTATGTTTTATACTGCAGTGTAACAAAAGTTTTTATGTCTAATTCTACTGTCAGAAAAAACACGATTATTATTAATAAATTAATCAGTTTGAAAGTTTGCTGTAAATCAGGTGTTCATATTTGTGTTGTTTCTGTAAATTTAGTTTAAACTACTTGACAAGTAAATGTGACATGAATAAAAATTCAGTTTAGGTCTGAAACTTATATTGTAGATGAAGATCACATCCATATATGCAACTGTTGTATTGAGTCAATGAGTTTATTGATGATGATATTTCAATTCCTTAATCACTTCCAGCGATCATTATTGAGATCTATATCATATCACATTAATTAACTCTACTACTGAGAATTTACTTGCTGAGCCAATGTGGCATAGCAACTTAAACCGTTGTACTCACGTACCATATTCCATGTTGTGTTTAACTGATTGATTAATTACCAACCTGTTTAACACTTATGTTGGCTTATAAATGGTATCGTAGATAATATTTTCAAATACTGATTATAAGTGCTCTACCATGATATTTGCTCATTTTCATTCTAGTGAATTAATCACTGCAGTACTAAAAAAACCTATTCAAAAGTTAGAGTACTTACTTACTTACGCCTGTTACTTCTCGTGAAGGAGCATAGGCTGCTCACCAGCATTCTCCATCCAACCTTGTCCTGGGCAATCCTTTCCAGCTCCGTCCAGTTGTAATTCATCCTTTTCATATCTGCTTCTAATATCCAACGTGATGTGTTCTTTGGTCTTCCTCTTTTCCACTTCCCTTCAGGGTTCCAAGTTAGGGCTTGCCTCGTGATGCAGTTTGACGATTTGCGTAATGTATGTCCTATCCATTTCCATCGTCTTTTCCTAATTTCTGTTTCAGCTGGAAGTTGGTTTGTTCTCTCCCACAGAAGGCTATTGCTGATGGTATCCGGCCAATGGATGTTGAGTATCCTGCGTCGAAAACTATTTATAAATACTTGTACCTTCTTGATTGTGGTTGTTGTAGTTCTCCAAGTTTCAGCTCCATACAGTAGAACTGCCTTGACGTTGGTGTTGAAGATTCTCACTTTGATATTGGTTGAAAGTTGTTTTGAGTTCCATATGTTCTTCAGTTGTAGAAATGCGACCCTTGCTTTGCCAATCCTCGCCTTTACGTCTGCATCTGAACCTCCTTGTCCATCGACGATGCTTCCTAGGTATATGAAGGACTCTACATTTTCCAGAGTTTCGCCATCAAGAGTGACTGGATTGCTGTTCTCCGCTTTGAATTTGAGGACCTTGGTTTTCCATTTGTGTATACTGAGGCCTACTGATGCAGAGACTGGCTGTCTTCATCTGTATCTGTTCGTGTGTATGCGATAGGAGGGCCAGGTCATCTGCGAAGTCCAAATCGTCTAATTGATTCTGAGCTGTCCATTGTATTCCATGTTTTCCTTCAGATGTCGAGGTCTTCATAATCCAGTCGACCACCAGAAGAAAGAGGAAGGGAGAGAGTAAACAGCCTTGTCTGATTCCGGTCCTTACTTGGAATGCATCTGTCAGCTATGTGGAAATATTGTGCCTCCTATGACCAATTTGTTGAATGCACACAAGTTTGCAAATCTTTCTCCATTTTCGTTTCTTTCTCCCAGTCCATGTTGTCCCATAATATCTTCATATCTGGTGTTGTCTATTCCGACTTTGGCATTTAGATCTCTCATTAGAATGGTGAGGTCCTTTCTTGGGCATTTCTCTATGATTGACTGCAGCCGCTCGTAGAATTGATCTTTGATGTCGTCGTTGCTATCATTGGTGGGTGCATAACATTGGATAATATTCATTTAAGATCCCCTCCTTCTTCGTTTTGAGTGATGCTTTGATGATTCTTGATCCGTGAGATTTCCATCCTACAAGTGCATTTCGTGCTACTTTGGACAGCATTAGAGCGACTCCCTGAGTGTGTGGAGCATTTTCCTCTTCGTGACCGGAGTATAGCAGCCTTTTCTGTCCAGTTTGGGTCCAATGGGTTTCGCTGATTCCCAGTACTGCCAAGTTGTATCTCCTCATTTCCGTTGCTATTTGACTGGTCTTCCCGGTTTCCCACATTGTTCGAACGTTCCATGTACCTATAAAAATTTTTGCTCTGGTTGTTAGAAGAGGCATCGGCCTCGTGGCTTCCGAAGGAACTCGGCTTTCACCATGAAGCGTCGTAATTCTTCTAAATGAAGACCTAACTTTCAGGGCAGAGTTAAAATGGTTTGAATTATTTTTTCTGGTAAGCGTTTTTTTTAGCGAGTTAGTTCTCTACGGGATGGGGACGCTAACCCCATGCCCAACCCTCCTCCTTTACCCGGGCTTGGGACCGGCAGTAACCCTAGAAGAGCTACAGGTGGAGTTCAGAAATTAGACAGGTATATCAACTTAAAGCAATTGAGAAACCTGACAACTCAATCCTACAGTAAATAAAAATGCCTAATATCACTTTTAGATAACACTTATAAGAGTTTAACCAGTGGCTAGTATACTAATCTTTCTGGAATTGTTAACTGTAATCTGATCACAATTTTTGTAACAAATGTTATGTGTGTAAGGAGTTTTAACTAAAACGAATATTGGATTTGTTAGTATTAGGTAAATATACAATTGTAATACTTGAACAGATAACAGTGTCAATAATAATAGTGGTCATAGCGATAGATTTATTCAACTTCAAGTCTCTTTAAACTTACAAATTCTCGAAATCAATTGAGTAATATTACAATAAATATCTCCTTAACACACACTCAAAATGTAATTATTCAAAACATATTGTATAATTATTTTTAACAGTCAAAGTCTGTCACCTGTATCCAACCATGAAAGTTTTCCACCAATTCAGGTTCTACAAATATGTTTCCATTCATCCTATATATAGTGCTTAAATTCCAATATATCTGTCTCTTGCTTTGTCACAAAGGAAAATATCCCGAGAACTGCAGTGATTCTCTTTACGTTTTATAGTATTTAGTATCGCAACTATTTAAAACCTTATCATAATAATGTGTGAGTACATGCAATTAACATTTAGAATTATTCATTGTAAACAAAATGAAAATAGGTAAGTTAATGGGAATTTTTCCACACTTAAAAAACAACTGACCTAAACATTTACTCGTGCCATTCTTCCGTAAGCCAATGTTTTAATTCAAAGAATTATACGTAAATTAGTTGAGATTACCTAGACCTTGATTCTACTTGAAAGGTAAAAAGTTTAGCGAACCATGTTCTTGGTGGAGTATCTGTTATTATTCACACTAATAAAATTACAAAGATTGCCGGACAATTTTTATATATCGAATGCAAAATAAGTTAATTTTATCAGTAAACTATTCGAAATGAAAAATGTAACTAAGGAATTCTTTCTTTTCTCATCTTTATGGAAATTACGGTGAGACTATAATTTATGGATGACCTTTGAGCGACGCTAAATTGACCTTCAGAATTTCCACCTACTAACTATGACTAAATTAGGGTTATAAACCAGTGTAAGGAATTAGAATTATGATTTACAGTTGATGGTTTAGGAATTAGATTGAGGGTTTTCATCACGAACTTACATAAGCTAAAATGCCAAAAAGCCATTTAACCAAATGGATGAATCAATTTTCTACTTGCAAATTGGTTACAGTTAAGATAACATTTAGAATAACATCGAACTCCTGACTTATAGCTTAGAACTAATCTTACTCTACCTATTTCAAAATGAGTAGTTCATTGATATTACTGATATTTACTCAGAAAGTGTTTCTCAAAGCTGAGTATTTTAAAAAACAATTAATACAGTCTACAGTCTCCATCCCTCGTCCTTATTACCAAGATATATATTCCCCTGGTGACGTTCCTATTCACTAATGATTGAAAAGCCTACAATTCCCTAACAACATATGGATACAATTAGAAAGTTGTTCATTTCGTCAACCCTCTAACAGGAGGACATACTAACAATTTAAAACTCATCGGAACGTTTAAAAAATTTATCTACCTTTGTAAAAGGTTTGAAAGGGAAAATGGTTAGGAATCACATGTATAAGTTTTTATACGGAATATACTTTAAAGTTAAGACAGAGGAATTTATTATAAACCCTAATGAATTCAATAATCATGTAAAAAGTGTATATACTTTTTAATTTCTCTCATTTTCTGTCCGATCGTTTTTCTATTGGTTAAAAAATAACCTGAAATTTTCCCAAGATTAGTTCAACAGTCACTCCTGATCATCAGAGTGATTTCGTTTTACCAAGTCACACCATAGATACACAATCAATTTAAAAGCATTATATGTGAAGGCTTGAATCGAAACTATATATAAAAATGTGGTTGTTATGTACACGTCACTCCTGTTATATCTTTAGTTTCACTGCTTATACTTTGAAAACGGGAACCTTATAGTTCCTACGACACAAAAATATGAGAGATCGGTGAAATGAAAATATATTGAATATTGGAAAATGCGTTGTCAAACAAGTCATCTTAAAATGTCCTCAAAATACACTCATTTATGTATTGATTTTATTCATATTCGGTAATACTATATGTAAGGTAATATGAATAGAAATATTACGAAATATATACTGGTTTTAGTTCACTTAAATTAATATGAGTGCCATAAATGTATATCTCATTGGACGAAAGTTTATACTTGTTATATTGAATTGAATTTTATACTGAATTAATACAACAATTATTTACATGAATACGTTCAACTTAATCCGAGTTCAAACTAATATACTCTTTCCAAGATTTAGAATAAATTGTTATAAATAATATTAACTTAAAATAATTTTGATGGAGTTTTGTTCTTCGACAAGGACCAATCAACATTGAGGTCTATAAGACAAGCTGTGAACCACATATGAAGAAATTTGAACACTTCACTTCTACCTGAAGTTTGTACTGATGATATCGTTCAGAAGAACAATGAAAGCTCCATGACCAAACCATCCAGCTCAGAGAACAAAACTCCATCAAGATCATTCACCTGAGCTATAAATCTTCTCCACCAACTTAAAATAATGTCACGTGTTTATTTCATCATATTAATAGTATTTATTAAAGTTCATTTACATTATGAAATAATAATTACATTAAAAAAAGGAATCATTTGATCGCTAGTCTTATGAATATGTTTAGTACTTCTAGTATTGAATAGACTTAATTTTATTATATTTCTTTGCAGAAGATCTTAGTACTCTGATTTATATTTTATGATACAGACACATACACACCCACACATTTTATTTCTCTCTATAAATAACAATTTGTTTTGTTTTGTTTTATGGATTTCGAAAATTCTACTGACTTGTTCATTATCATTTTTCTCTCGTTGTTATATGCTCTCTTGCTTTTGAATTTATGGTTAGTTATATATTGGTTTGTTTTATTATTATTGTTATTCTTTCAAGATTTTCATTTCATACATTCATTACTCATTCAATCAGTTTATTTGTATTGGTAATAGCTCATGATTTTCAGTTAATTTTAGGAAAAAAGATGATTATTAAGATAGTATACGCTTAATATTAGAATATATATAAAATACTGCGCAGCAGTTCGTCCTGTTTTATTTTACGGCAGTGAAACGTGGCCATTAAGAGTAAAGGATACTCGTAAGTTATTAGAATTTGATCACAAAAATGTCTTAGAAATATTGCTCACATTTGCTGGGATCACTGGGTAAGTAATAATGAGGTTAGACTCAAGGTATTAGGTACTGATGGCAAATCAGTTGATGGTTGCACCACGTGTTATGTATGCCCGAACACCGATTCTTATTCTTATTTTTATTTGAACACATAAATATTGGTACAAGAGGGCACCAAATATATATGCGCCACACAAAACAATGAGAATTAGAAGAGAGAAAAAAACAATAACGAACAGATTAGTGTAAGGTAGTATAATAACAATGATAATAGTAATAATGGGGGAGACAGAAAGGTACAATCAGAAGAAATCTTTCAGTTAAGGGAGAAACAACCATTTTTTATGAAGAAAGTAAAATAACGTTATAGCAGGATCGTCACTGGCTTCTACTCTGAGCCATATCTGATAATTACCCTAGCCACTGTGTTGCACCGTCTTGAATGGGACAATTGAGAGAGGTGATTGCATGTCCTCACTCTACCTGAGGTGTTTGTATATAGGGCTTTTAGGATGTTAATAAACTTCTCAGGCACACCCTTCTTCAATAGACAATCCCAGAGAACAGTTCTGTCCAACGAATCGAAGGCAGCCCTAATGTCAAGAAACACTACGATTGTTGGCCTTTGATAAGTATGACGGTGTTCTAACATTTGGCGGAGGGTGAAGATATGATCAATACATCCTCAACCGGAACGAAACCCAGCCTGCTCCTCGCGAGTCAATCTTTCTCGGTTTTGAACAACCTACGAAGTATGACGGAAGCCAATAGCTTGGACGCAATCGGAAGTAGACTTATCCCCCGATAGTTGCTACAGGAACGACGTGAACCCTTTTTAAAGATAGGGACAACTATCGACTCATTTCATGACGTTGGTACACTCTCTAGTTCCCAAACCTTTGTAAACAACGTCGTCAATTCCTTAGTCAAAAAGTCGCCACCATCTTTAAAAAGAACCGGAGATAAGTCATCTGGGCCAGGTGATTAGTAACGTTTCAAGAGTTGGAGTTCCTTGCGGACTTCCTCCTCATTCGGTGGATCAGTCGTCACCGGCCATGGAGGGCAGGACAGTCTGACCGATGTTGCCGGAGCAGCAGGCCAGTTGAACTGCCCTTCAAAGAATTCTGCTCATCGTCCAAGACGTCGATGGATGTTAGTGATTGGCATCCCGTCATCCTCACAGATGGTTTCGCTCACCAGACTTCTTGCTGCTAGTGGCTCGGATGAGTTGGAAGAGCTTCCGGTAATTACCAGATGTAGCTGCTGCCACCATAGGCGAGCTGCTTTATAAGTCGAAAAATAAGGATACATAAAGTGGGAATAAAAGAGAGTGAATAAATGACGTAAAAATAATAATAATAACAGTAATAGCAATAATAATCTGAATCGTTTGATTGTTTGTCGAAGCGAGACAAGTATTTTCCATAAATATAGACACTTCATCATATTTGTGTCTGGGCCGTGATACTGCCCGGGTGCCCAGACCGAAGCAGATGGTTTTCTTAGGGGGCCACACCTGGAGCCTTCGAACTGAAGGTCTGATCCATAAGGCAGTAGAGCATCGTGAGAAGATGCAGTCCCACGGTAGCCGGTGACCAACGATTGGTTCATACGCTATTTGTTCCTTCATGATACTGGAGCCCATGTGCACCATTGGTTTGGGATCCGGTTAAACTGCCTGACATTCTCTTTTCGTCGTCTCAACTTCGTAAGCAACACTCACGCCACGAGAAGGCAGTGAGTATTACTTCCCTTGCAGTGGTTGTATGCATGTGGCCATTTGAGAGCATTCAAAGAGAAAGGGAGGGCGGGCCCACCCCACTCTCGGCCATACCAAGGCGTTTGGGGGCTGAACACCGATTGCCACAACGTGAAGTGCTGACCAGTTCTGAAGACGGATAGAAGTTAGGGGCGGTCAAACCAAAACGTAGCATCAGTCCCTGGAGTCACTAACTTCTAGTCTGAGCCATGTTGGTAGGTGCAGAATACTTGGTTGGGGTCCGCACGACTATCGTTACCAACGGTTGGAGACTGGGTGGCATGGCTCAGAATCGATCCCAATGGTGTAGGCGTACGCACCATTTGTCTTCCCTGAAACCGTGAGATTAGAATCACTTTCTACCAACTAATTCTTTCTCCTTATATCATATCCTTATATGAAATCTACTTTTATACATTACTACAATTGAAGTAACTGCTTCCATGAATTCTGTGTTCATCTTGTTGTGCTAATGAGGTATGGCAAATTGGACCGATGCACATATATGCCTGGTTCTACTTTGTAGCTGTCTAACTGAATAATGCGCTCTTTGGAGCTCGTCCACTGGATACACATGCATTCTAATATTTCTATATTGACTGGGATTTAAGCTTTCCTATTTATCTTTGAGTAACTAAATTAAATTCGCTGATCAATAGAAGTTTAGTTAGAATTTAGACTATCAAGGCATAAAGTTAACATTCTAGTTCCGATAATCGATTAGTTTGTATCCTTTTCTATAATCTGTTTTTAGATGAAAATAATTTGATGGTTTTTTTCCATTATAAAGTTAAATAAACTACTAGGTATTTGTTTCTATTTCATATTCGTTGGAAATTCTTCAAAAAGAAATATTCTTAACATTTATGATAAAAAAAAACTGTAATTTTCTTTTGATCATCTGAATTAAAAACTTCTGGTCAACATTTTAAGGTTCATAGTTAATTCTTGATGCTTTACCATCAGTTTTAAATGCATGTATGGTTAGAGGCAATTGATAGAAAGCTATGAATCCGGGCTCTTTTGTAAGCCATATATCTGTGGTCTTGAGATTGATAGTATTCGAATCCACGTCACTCATTATCATGGTCTAAGATGTTACCACTGAGATACTCGCGCTAAGGTTGACGTTTTCTTGAACTGAAATGTTTACAAGGATTTGTCACTCAGTAGTTATTGTTATATTTGTCTAGTCATTAGTGTTAATCAAATTTTATTGATTAAGTTAGATTGTAACCTCTTGTCTATGTAACTCAGCAAGATTCTCTGGACCTATGTTTAATTTTAAGTTTAAGACAAATGTGACATTTGAAAAGGACAGGTATAACTTATTTAAACAGTAAAACATGATCTTATTTTGTTTCGTTAGGTCCTAATAAACTATCTACAACCTGCAAGCTTTCACAATCAAAATTACCGATTTAGATCAACGTACTTGTGAAGTTGATAAAAATTTAGCGTGATCACATATCGCCATGATGTGTAGTTAAACATACAGGTACTCAGTCTAATCGTGATGAGTTTCCCCATTATATATATATCAAGATAATGACATGTACACTTTAACGTCAATATACTCAGTGATATTAGTTGTTTTAATCAGGTAAAAATAGTCATTTTTATTGTCATTGAAGAATTAATCTCTTTCGATCACTGTTCTCTTGATAAGACTATTACTGTTTTATTAATTATTTCACATTTTTATAGTTTACTATGTCGTCGATGATCATGTTTGTTTTCTAATTGTTATTTCCATAAATTATCCTCGTTACATTTACAAACTTTCTTGTTTTTTTACCACTTCGTTATTGTTTATTTATAGATATAACACATTGTAATCTATGTCAACCAGGTTTTTACTTGCATAACAAAACGAATTATTGTTTAATGCGTACTACCTGCCGTCTTTCTGAGTACTTTGATGAAGATCAAGATGTAAGTGGTATACATTATTCTATATTTAACAATCATATATACCACTATTTAAAGAAATTTATTTGTTCTATATCTGATATTCATCACAGATTGTTTTCATTTCGAGTACTACTATAAACAAAAGAGCAATGAATAATTTCTGACGAGCACTACGTACAAATTAAATAATGCGCCCCCAAAACCTCTCACCAGTACTGTAATCGTGTGCTTACTAGTGATTTAATCCAAAATGACTTGTTCAAATTTTAGTGGGAAATGATGACTTGCAGCGTTTAGTTATATCAGGAGTACTACAGTCATCATCAGTGTTATTGAATGATTGTCATAATAGACTATGAATTGATTAACGTTGAAAATGTGAACTATAATTTCTTAACTCAATGATCTAAACGTTACTGAATAGTTGAGAGACTTGAGAGTCTATGTTTTGATTTCTCACAACATTGAATTACTAAAACGTCTAGTGTTGTCTAGTTTTCTTTAGTTCTCAATGGTACCCTAAACTTAGTCGAATCGTGACAGATAACGCCTACAAATCTGACTAATTTTCACAAAACCTCTCATTAAAACTCATTTAAGATAATATTAATTACTTGAGAAGGAGGTACCTTAGTTTGAGAGTCTTACCAGGGAGTGCAGTATGTTCCAGTCAGCAAGTCTATAATCTCTATGTTTTTGATTGAGATCGTGAACCGATTGATGTTAGACCACCTTTGGAAACCTGGAAGCACTGGACGGCCGTTTCGTCCTATTGTGGGACTCCTCAGCAGTGTGCATCCACGATCCCGCTCGCGGGGTTGGTTTTTGCATGGGTTGATTACAAAAAAGGTTTGCGAATTCCTCCTGTTGAATTCTTTGAATCCACTTGTTTGGTTTGAGCACTGAATTTTATTTGTTTATTTGAAAACATAAATATTTGTACAAAGGGGAACCGAATACATGTGCGCCACACAAGTCACTTGGTTTGTGTGTGAGCTGTGATACTGCCCGGGTGCCCAAACCGAAGCAGGCGGTTTTCTTAGGGAGCCACACCCCGAGTCCAATCCACAAGACAGTGGAACAACGTTAGGAGATGCAGTCCCATGGTATCCGGTGACCAACAATGGGTTTATGCGCCATTTGTTTCCTTAGGATCCTGGAGCCCATGTATACCTTTGGTTTGGAGTCAGAGTTTTCCAACTCCCCTAGGTGGACCCTCCGTATCCACCAACCTGGTTAGAGCGCCGGGCACTCGCTTTTTGTCCTCTCAATTTCGTGAACAACACGCCGGCCACGAGAATGCTATGAGTTGGGTTTCCTGGCAGTGGCCATGTGAGAGCATTTCGAAAGGGAGAGCTGACTCTCCCCACACTTGACCGTACCAGGTCATTTGGGAGCACTGAAAAGTTAATCTCTCGTTTAAATTCGTGGCAACATAATTGCCACGTAGAAACAGTGAGTAATACTTTCCTGAAAGACGCTATATAAAAGAGGGAACCGTCTTCTATCTCACCAATTGTAAGTCAGCTGGAAACATATCTATAATTGATTTGATAAGGAGATGATGTGTAATTCAAGATAAGTACTGTTTTATTGTTACTGTACACTGTAAAGCTGTTTTTAATTGTATCAAGATTTATTTCCTTTTTCAAGTACGATGTCTCTCTAATGTTTCTTTTTTTCGTATTCACGAGAATAATATACTTGGTTCAGAGTTTTGTGGAGAATCATTGAAAACTATAGAACAACTGACTATTGGTCTCTTTGTGCCTTAGAGACTCCCTAGTAGTTTATATCTACAATACTTAGGCTGATTGAGTTCTAAAGTGAAAGTTAAACTATCCAGTGGGAAACAACGAATTCAGTTGATTAAACTGTTTAATTATTAAAACATACTATTCTTTTTAAGTAACTTTTATTCAGCTGCCTACTGAAAGATATCTATTTCATTTTCATTTTTTTAAGTTAATGTTAAGATACACACTTTATACGCTTTAAATTGTATTTAATTGTTGTTTTTTTAATTTTATTCTTTAGGTATGTCGACCATGTGATTCTACTTGTCGAACTTGTTCCGGACCTAATCCATTTCAATGTACCAGTTGTTTTAGGAAACCACCAGCTCCGCGTTGCTTATTGACAAATCAACGTGTTTCAAAATTACACAGAACTTCTAAAGATTTAGCCCCATGGACTGATTATTCAAATGTAGAACCTAATTCTGGACAATGTTTACCTTGTTGCCCTTATCGGTTGGCTTTAACTAGTCGTGATCCTAGACAATGCATGTTTTGTGTTGCTGATAAACGTGAGTCTTTATTGAGGTTATGTTAAGCCACAAACTAATGTTAGTCAGTACATTTTTACCATAATCCCCATTATAATATACCAAACTAGACATTAACGATCCATGATTTAAAGGGAAATATTCCTTACATTTGTTGACCTGTAATCTAACTTCATTGTAACAATCATCTTTAAAATGTTATTATGAATAATGCATTGTATTTAATGTTGAGTAGATAAGGAAAGCTAATAAAAATTTATGTTATTATACATCTTATTTATTTCAATTCAATACTAAAGAGATTATTAGTGTAATTACCAATTTTCGTTTTATTGTTTAGTTAAGTCGTTTGTGATAATTTATTCTATTTGAGGTTAATCTGCACATGAATAGTTAGAGAGAGCTATTGAAATCCTAAAAGATATAGATAATTATTTCGTCATACTTTGAGACTCCTCAACATTCGACGTTGAAGGCCTTACACGGCGTTGTAACAAGAACGACGTACAATCAAGCCATTAAATTCAGTCATCTCCAACATCGGACCAGGCATATATATGCATCGGTCCAATTTGCCATACCTCATTAGCACAACAAAATGAACACAGAATTCATGGAAGCAGTTAATTCAATTGTAGTAATATATAAAAGTAGATTTCATACAAGGATATGATACAGGGAGAAAGAATTAGTTGATAGAAAGAAAGGTAGAAAGTGATTCTAATCTCACGGTTTCAGGGAAGACAAATAGTGCATAGGCCTACGCCATTAAATTAGTATTCATTTGTCTAAATTATTCAGTTTTCAGTATTGTCAAGTAACTTTCAGTTCACTTCGATTTCTATCAATCAGTTCAATGTGATTTTTCGTTCATATGACATTTGTTTAGTTTATTAAATTTCTCAACTAATATTCACTGAGTCTAACTGGTATGTAATTGAATGAGTTGAAATGTGAAATAATCTACTTTGATCTTTGCCAAATAAATCTTCGGTACAAGATTTATATCTTAGAGTAACTGATGCTTGGAATGACTGGGGCTAGTAGTGGTATCCAGATATCGAAGTGTAGTTACGAATTATTGCTGGTATCACAAACATAGCAGACTAATAGTCTTGTTCTGGACAAGGTTGATAATTACCTTCAAACCATACTAACACGCCACAAAAGCATCATGATTAATAATAATAGTTACAGTAATCGAGTATCGATTATGAACCATACGTTTTTGTAATAAGTCGAAAAATGTAGTTTAAGTATAAGGGATAACTTAAGGAATAGCTGTGTATCTACGCATTCCCAATCAATTTGTAAAATGTAAGTGACACCGGTAGAAGTATACTTTGCTGACAAAAAATCGGATTTAAGATAACAAGTCTTCTCGCGAGATTCACAACAGAAAGGGTGATAGATTTCTTTGTATTAAGAGTTAAGTAAAAATTGCCCATATCTAGTTCTGAAGATCATTAAAACTGATAAGCACTTCTGTCATGCAACCATACAGTGAATGTGATGTAATGTAAATTACAACAAACACTTAGTCGTGTTGCGGACAGCCTGAGAAAGTTAATTACCCAATGAGCATGCGTGATATGATTCAGAGCACCATCAAATGTATCAAAGTGTTCTTTAAAATAAAATCCAATCTTCCCTGATTACTAGTTCTTTACGGCAACCATTTTTGTTGCTATTATATATATACTCCACTTTTTCCTCTTTCATTTAATCTAACTAGCTATCTGTTTAAGTGGTGACGAAATTGGAGCTGGAGAAAGTGGCTACATAATAGATGTCGATAATAATGACCAATCCTTATTGGAATTGTTCAGTAAACAACCATATCGTCTTATTCTATTGATTGGATGTATTATATTTATTATACTGTTAATTATATTCATCGTAGCTCATTTTATAACAGCACGTCGCCGTCGTCATCGTGGAAACAATCAAATGTATTCTTGTTGTTGTAAACAACATTATCATGAATCGAACAAACGAACAAAAATTGTAACATCTGTTACCAAAAAGCGTAAGGCTCGACAAATGGCTTCTCTAACTAATCATCACAATTATTATCATGATCAATATGTTAATAGTCCAACAATATTGGAACGAAATAAAGTAGAAGATAGTGAAAGCGAAGGTGAGGACGATGATGATGATCCACAAGCAGAACAAATTTCACTAAAATGTAAACGTATTAAAGACAATAATATAAATATAGGATATATTGATAAAAGATTAATGATATTGAACTAACTGAGGATTGTATTACTACTGTTAGTAATGGTGGTAGTAATCATTTCTATGTTCCATCTTATAAATCATCGAATTGTTCAAATGGTAAATTACATAGTGGACGTGTATATCGATTAAGTATAGATGATTTAGTAGACACACCGCCGACCAGCATCACTGCCACAACAACACCAACATGTACATTGAATACTGCAAATACACATAATCATGTACGTTACAGCCAGTTGAGTAGTACTGTACTACCTAACGATGATGGTGATGATAATGACAATGATGGGAACAGTAATAATAACAGTGATCCAGATACAAATAGTAATGGTGTAACTGAATCATGTGCAGTAGAAGTAGATAACAGCTGATTAATACAATTAATTATTGACGCCTAGTCGTTATTTATTATTGATTTATATATTTTATTATCATTATTATTACTGTATTCCCCTCAAAAATGAAAAGTCCATTCATTCCTGTTACCTTTCATTTAAAAAAGAGCTTGTTTTTGTCCAATTAAAATGTGCTTTCTTTCTGTATGTTCCTCTTTCTTACCATACTCAATTGCACAAGTCATTATAAGATCTCAAAAATTTTTTAAAAATAATGTTAACTGGGCACACTATTGCCTGTTCTTACAAATGCGTATTCACAATTATTCAGTTGAATTTTTTAATACATTGTATTGTTAGTATTACAGTTACCACAACTACCACTACTACTAATAATAGTAGTGAAAGATGATGACAATGAATTATTTTTATGCTGCTAATTTTTACTTCCCTTCTTTTTTTTTATACATTTTACTGGAAACAAAATAAATTATATCAAGGCCTTATCTAGAAAGAAATAAAAACAATTAATTAATACGTTTCACGTACATGGATTCACGTATTGTTCCTATTATAGTTTGAATTTTTTTCTCGTTTTATTTTAGTTGTATGTATGTAGAAATTTTCTGTATAGTGAGAAATGAGCATAACTGTATTTGTATTTGGCCATACTTTCTCTTTCTCCGTATCATATTCAAAAGATGAGCATAAATTTAGTAATAACTTTAGGGGAACAAGCTGTGATGTTGTGTACACTGTTTTATGTTCTTTAATTATATTCACTATCCTATTTTTTTTTTCAATTTTCCAGTCATTATTTCAAACTATACTGCTGTTTTACTCTTCATCAACATCGCATACATTTGTTTTCTCTTTAATTTAAAGTATGTATACATATGTAGGTAAATCATACCATTTTTAAACAAAATTAGATAATACTCTTTGTTCGTATATTATTTACAATTTGTCAGCTTAATACATTCGTTATTTGTTCATTGTCTTCCGTATTGTTCTTTTTTATTTGTTTTTCCATAAGAGTGACGTATGTACTGATTGCTTTCATTTATTGTAATTTTTAATATGATTATAATAAATCTTATCACTGCTGCCTCCTGTTGCCACACTGTATCACTACTATTATTACTACTACAAATAGTAGTAGTACTGTTAAATTGTTTGTCTTTATTTCAGTTTACACCTAATATTTTTATTTTGTATTTTTTACCTATTTTCTTTTTTTCTAATTGTGTTAACTTTTAACTGTGAAAAGTCGAAGTCTCTTGTTCGTACCACTGTTAATTGTGCCTTATAAATATGAAACGATGATGTTCATTAAAAATGAGCATCCATTGTGTAAAAAAAAAACTTATTACATCTTGTTGAATTCTTGCACTTTTAACTCGTGCTGATGCTAATTGTTAATTTTATTGATGATGATAGCCCTACTAATACTACTACTACTACCACCTAACAATACTAGTCGTTTTTTTAAATATCTGTTTTTCTTTTTTCAATATTAATCGCGACTATAGCGTGGTTTTCGGATTTTTTTTGTTCGATCTCGTCATTACCCTTATATTTACCGTTATATTCTTAATGTGATGTCAAGTAGTGTAAGTCAAAGCAAGAAAAAAAACTGGATGTGAACTACAGCTTTGCTGTACGCAGAACTAAGCGACAGTATTGCTGACTCGTTAAGGTGGTATGTGGATTTTCTCAAGATTTTCAAACGTGAAACTAACGAATTTGCTGGGTATTCTAATGATGGTTCGTTGACGGAATTTGATAAATTGTCAATTGATTAGTCTCATTTTGGTTAAACTATTGCCTTGACCGATAGTTGGATATGACAAACTCCGTTTTAGGATGTTGAAATTCAACTGTGAAACAAAACTGCTTCGTTTGATGATTCTTGGTTGTCCATTCCAATTGACACTTAAAAACATACCTACTCAGTTGTCAATGCTATAATCCTGATAATAGATCTTGTGATTGCATTCTCACTGATTAGTGTCTAGTTCTCGAGATTAGTCATTATACATACAAGTGTTCATTTAACAATCTATCCAAGGTTATTAGGATTATGATTAGCTGACAAAATCATGTCTCAAGCAGTGGTAACTAAACTGACGTGCCATAAAACACATATTTTTTCAGTGTTATCACTACTACACATGTTCTCAAATAATGTAGTAGTAGTATTTCGCTAATACTTAGTTTGGACTTGTAATTCAGAACAAAATCGTATTATTCTGCGATAAATGGTAATATAACACACTTGACTACAGAATATATAGATATTACAAAGACAGCTTTTAGTAGGTTAATAAGTCCAAGTTTATAAAGCAAACCAATTGTATGTGGCTTTTGTAAGTAACAGCTAACAATCCTTTTCACCAAAGCAGTAGTCTGGTCGATGGCAGTTTAATATTTTGATTGTAGGAGTCATTACGAGTCCTACTTAGCTAAATGGTGGCTTTTCACACTACATACGCACTACTTAGCTTTCTTTACTAACTACACAAACGGCTGGTAGGAAAATCCCATCATTTATTTTGCTACTTGGAAATTCTTCATATATGACTCACCATCGCTCATTGAGCTATCTAAGTCGATGAACGTTCTATTTTCACCAGCTTATCACGAAAAATAAATACAAAAACATGTTCTTATCAGTTTTATGGAAAAATTCTGCGTTTTCAAGGTACAAAAGACATACTTTCCTCAGGAAAGCTGGTCGTTAGCTCATTAGGTCCTGTTTGAGTATTCTATGTGCCATCACACTGTAACATGGTATGAATATTTGAAGCCGAAGCGTTTCCTTAGTTTAACAGATCTACACTACCAATAATCATTTAAAAGGTGCTAATAATCTCAACGTAGAATATAGAGATAAATCAATCTCATACAAACCTAATGTTGGTTTTGCGCTTTGGAGAGTAGCTGTAGGCCATTAGTCTTCTCGAAGTGTTTTGTATAGGAATCCTCAGCTGTAAACAAAAATGCTGGAGAAATTCTTCTCTAACAGAATAATCTAGTGCTGTTATGTCTATTGTCAAGCAATACAATGTTAGTCTGCAGTAACGTGACTGTTGTAGTGTATGATAAGTTAAAACACCATCGAAATAATCATGGCCTGAAGGAAACGTAGTAACTTATAAATCAGCTGCTTGTTGGGCCCAGTTAATGCACATAACGAGACGACAACAACTGGTAAAACAGACCCGTACCACGACGATTCTTACGTACATTCAGTGAGATCATAGTGATGGAACAATCAATTTGTTAGTTTTGAACAATATTTATATGTTGAAGGTACTTGTAGTTAGTTTCAAGTTACAGAAATGACCAATTTAAAAAATCAAACCATTCAAACACTTTTTTTCCGACAATACGAATGATGCTCAAATGGAACCAGTAACCTAACATACTTTTTAACTATTGTTCACATAATCGATTTCCAACCACTATTCTTACAACCATACATTAGACGGAGCTTGCAATAGTGTACGCTATTGAGAAAATTGTCTTTTTTCGAGGAAATACCGACAAAGCGTGCAGTTAAAAAAATCGTTTGTTAACATCACTATGCATAATTTATTTTACAATTCAAATCAAAAATAAAACAAATGAATTTCTTTTGTACAAAAGGGTAGTTTTCATTTATTTTCCTAAGACCGTAAAAATGGCTTATTTCTGGCAATATGCTTATCTAATTGGTCCCAAATTTGTTGGAAATTTGCCTTGTCTAGATGTCTCCTTTGATCCAGATCAATAACACGTACATTCCATTTGGCTACATTTGGATCCAATGGCATATTAGTGTACTTCAAATGAAAACCCTTGACTTTAGAAACAGGAAAAAACATTACACGAATCAATCAACACTCGACTGTAAAACTTGTAATAGTAGTAGTAGTGTGGCGAAAGGGACAAGTGATTACTTTAGGATTGGATCCCTGATTCAAGATTTTATACAATCGGAGATGTCCAATTTAGTTCGGTAATAGTAAGCAACATGATACTCTAACAACTAATAACGCAAAAAGTATAACAAATTCCTGTAACAAATCACTACGATACGTCTGTGCGCTTAGAGAATAATTTCTAACTCCGATTTAACTATCAGTGAACGAGACTGTATCCTACTCTCTTTTTTCTTGCCCACTAACTAGAAACAAAAGTCCAAGCTTCTCTAGAGCTATCATCGATAGGAAATCCCAGATTAGTACAAATATGAATTCATTCCATTACATATAGACTTTAATCAATGATGAAATTGACAAACTGAACAGTTACTACATAGAATTAATACACTTGGATATCAAAGTCAAATGAATAAAAACCATGTTTAACACCAATATATACTTAATTTCTTCCTAGTAAAAATTGTATTTATGGATTGAACATCGTTAACACACTATTGGTCATTGAAGCTGCGTTAGATTCCAGTACTGTTGGAAACTAAAGGGCAAGGATATTTCATAATACGATAAAAGTATGAGAGAATGTAAAAGGCATAAATGTAGTGTAAATAGCTTATTTGTACAGTAACAAATGTTTACTAAAGTGCATAATTTGAATATTGAAGAAATACGGGATATTAAGAACTTTCTGATCTGTAAAATTTAGTTCACAGTTAACTTGTAGCAAGTATACGGACAGAATGAAACAAAAATTGATGACCCGACAGTTAATTACTATAGTACAATGCGAGATCGAATCTCAAATAGATTATGTAAGAATCAGTAGACCGCGGAATCGATCTAAAGGGGTTCATGCTGAAAGTTTCAATAGTTAGGCAGCTAAGCTTAGTAATCATAGAGAAAAAACTTACAATGAAATAGAGGAAGTTTAATCCTTGACACAGTAAACCGCTCATTACCTTTTATTTTAATGATACGACAAGTTAAATCAGTATAAGAGCTCCTGTAAGAATGAATGAAACTACCAATGCAAATTTAGACAGATCAACATTAAAATCTTACTTTGAGAAAAAATTACTGCTGGATCGGAGCTAATTGGCCAACCTTTAAATTGCCAAGCTTGACCTTGGACAAAAACAGCTACAACACGATTCCATTCATCTAAGAGTAATTTGTTTGGTTGATCAACCACACGATAAGGTACTGTTCGACCATCAGATTTATGACGCTGAATAAGTATCTCGTTTTCTCGACGCATACCGGATGCTTGTTTCTCTTGGGATTTAATGAACCGTAAATCCTGAGAAAAAAGATTAAATATAAAATTATAATTGTTACCGGGAAATCACCAGTTAATCGCACTACCTCGATAATAAAAATACCAATTAAATGTATACGAGTAAAAAAGATTTCAGCAGGTACATATACTTTGGTACACCTTTCAGTAACACACAAAACCTCACTGGTAGACGAAACCAAATACCATCTTCAGATCAAAGACAATGAATCCAGTTTGAAATCTTCTTGTAGTGTTTCAGAATTTGTCGAATATTGAGTATTTGATCGATACATCAAGACCCAGGGTAGAATTCAGTCTGGTTACCTCAGGTTTGCTATATATGCAAAGTTGTTTAGTCAAAACCATACTTAATAGAGCCAGATTGTATGTCAAGCGGCAAAAACAGGAAGAAACAGTATATATCGAAGTTTCTTGCAAAACTGGATATAAAAAGAAATTTATTTATATTAAGTACAAAAATACGATTACAGGAGCCTGGAAGACACAACTTTAAGGAAAAAATGTCTTCATCCATTTTGAATTCAAGGGTGAGATTTTAGGCAGGATCGAAAAAGGATTAAGCAGAGCTAAAGAAAAGCTTTCTTGAAACCCAACTATTCCCGGTGTATAACACCAGATCTTTCTTAAACCAGTCAAAAGTGAATTAATACCCTTCTGAAGTCACCTCCAAAAGTATTTACGAATTTACATGTACTTATAGAAGTAATTACCGAAAGAAGGACATCTAAAAGGTTTACCGAACATATTTCTCGTAAGTTATCTGAAAGGAAGTAAAGTATTCACAAGTGCAATCACTAAACATTTAATGGATAGTGGATACAACGTGGATATCACAAAACTGTTTAAAATAATTAACAAGCAGCAAACACCAATTTTATTCCGCTTAGCGAAGGCCAATGCCATCGAGCACTTTCGACCTGACCATTGTATATAAAAGTGTGATAGATTTCTCATTGCTATGATAAATAGCTGCATTATTTTCAGTCAGTCAGTCAGTAACAACGTAGAACTTCGTACGTACGTACATCAGTTCGAGTTGCCACACCACATTAGCACAGAGATGCAGTTGTCGATTCAAATCCCGTAGTGGTAGAGGTAATAAGAGTATAAGCAGTAATCGGGAAGATTAGGGTTTGGAGATGTTATTTAAAGAGTATAATCCAGTGAAATAAATTTGGAAAGAGGAAAAAAAGGGACATGAAGAATTCAGAAGATTAGAATTTGGGAGAACACAGAGAGTGGATGCACCTGCGCCATTGCAAACGATTTTGAGCCATGTCATTCAGGGTCTCTAACCATC